AATATTCAATATATAAGAGTAGCGAAAAGGAGCAACTATGCTTGTGTTTTTTGCGCGAGATACTGCGTAACAAATCCACCGGCTTGCGCGCATCTTCTCAATGAAAAATATTTGATTATTTCGAGTATAAATTTACATAAACTATACAAACAGCCGAATTATTTTAGTTTCCTGCGCACCGTCAATATGCGGATTACAAGGAAGTACACAAACGAGATATCTCATGATCCGTCCTCGACGTACGCTTTGCTAAACACGAGATATCTCGTGAACCGTATGCAACTTGCTACTTTAATAATAACCAACTTTGATATTAACCAACTTTCTTTCGCGAACTTTAGTAGGCCGAGTCGCACATTTCGAATGGATATCGGTCGTTGAATTTCTTCGATTCATGCGAAGAGTGCGATAAACTTCTCGACGGATGTCGTTCACGAGTTCGATAAGTTTCAACTGTTAGATGGTTGACTGGATTGTAAAGAGCACTTAGTCCTCCTCCCCCTCTCTCTCTCTACTCCCTCTTTCTTTCTTTCCTGATCGCAACGACGGAGCTCTATCAATCGCGTACCTGACCTTCGCGGATAGATCGTTCAGAATGGTTTCATCGAAGACTTACGATTAGTTTCGTTCTGCAGGAAAGCGCACCGCCACCTGCTGATCTTAATAGAATGGAAATTGAATCGATCTGTTCCGTAGACACGGCGAACTGAAGTAAATGGGAATGGCCGCGGGGGCGTAAAATTGGACGCGAAAATATCAGGGCGATTTCGTAACCCGGATAAAAATTAGGACGGATCGCCTGACGGCGGTATATCGAATTCGAAAAGAAGTATCTCTCACGGAGCCGGCGGGGGCTCTTCTCGCGACCCTCTCAAAATAAATCCACGAGCGCGACGAGTTATGTAACCGCAGCGTTATGTTCTTTTTCCGCAGATCGCGTCTATCGCGCTACATTTATCACTCGCGTCTAACGTCATTAGGCGGCGCACCTTCGTGTTCCATTTACCTCTACATTTATTTTTCATTGCGTATCGTGCTGCTCGCACAATTTCAAGTGAAACGGAAGTAAGTAAAGGTGTAAAGGCAGGTCTGGAGGAGGGGGAAAAAAAATAGAAAGAAAGTGAAACAAAGGATCTACGCTGCTACTGTGCTCCCCCGAATGGCGTTTATTTATTTGGAGAACATACTCGCGGAAAAGATTAAGAATTTTACGAATGCTCTTGTAAGTGGCGAGATTACCAATATTAAAATTCTCTCTAACACACACACACACACATGTTTGTGTGTTCTATTAAAAAAAACTCACGTAATATATATATATATTATTTTTTTAAAGATGAAATCGTTCTTTCATTGTTTTTGAAATACAATGTTTCTCCAGTTTTCTTTGTATTGGGAACTTCAATTTCCAGCCCGTAATTTCTTTTGTTTCAGGTCTGGTGTGGTTCGGACATTCCCGTGACGTTCCCGTGGTATCTCATCTTTATAACTTGCCAATAACGCCAATCATGGATACGCAGAGTGAGGTTAGTAAGGCAATCTCTATAATATCATTTCTCGTGCTCGTGACACGTACAGTGGATAAAAAAAGTATTCGCACGTTCCGCGCCTTCTCTCCGATATAATTTCACGCGAATGGGAAGAACGTGTCGTGTCAAAGGGTCGCCTATCGTTTCGCTTCCGATATGTATTAATTCCAGCACTTTGTCACGACACTTCTTTTTCAATGCAGCGGTAACCCAAAGAGGGAAGGGGACGAGAAAAGGAACGCGAGGAACTGCGCGAACACATTTCTTTCCACTCGCCGTGGCGGATAAATTAAAAATTATGGAATTCGTTCGTGGCGTCGTGCACGCACGTGCACGCTTTTGTCCGCTCGCTTCCCGCGCCTGTGTGTGTGTGTGTGCGCGGAAATATGCAAATTGCGCAGAACTTCACCGGCAGCTTTCTCGCCGAAGACACGAGTGTGTTTTGCATTTACTACCGATCTTTATAACTTCCGGTTAAAACCCACGACCCTTGCCGCATTTTCTCGAAAGAACAGGCGGGGAAAAGTTTCTTTTTTTTTTCTTTTATGGAAAATTCAATGTGAATTCCACCGCGATGGCGCGGCTGAAGTTCGCGGGGAAATAACGCAACTCCAGCCAGCCGTCGAGGAAGTTTTGTCGAACCTTTGAGTTCACGTCGGCATACGCTCCGCAAATAAGTTTCCGTGCGCTGTGTGCTCATTTTAAGTAATGATCGTATTTCTTACGAATGACGTGTTCGCGCGCATGAAATATTCAAGGAAGGATTCGAAGACTTCCAAGTCTCGCGGCGCGATACTCGCGTAAAGGAAGAATAGAAAAGTCTTCGTCGACTGTGTGTCCATAGAAATCAGCGCCTTCTTGCACACGCGACGTTTTGTGTCTCGTTAATTTAAGCAATTTACCTGCGCGCACACCGCTCTTTGTTCGCGCGTTCTTTCGCAAGCGAAGCCCCAAAAGTTTCATATCGTCCGCGATTCTTTGTCACCGCATACACGATACTGCGCGCAATTAAAATTTGTTAAATTAAACATTCATAAAGCATTCGCCCCGTGTTAAGCGCCAACATCAACGTTTAAAAAGTCCAATTAAAATCCCGCGATCGTTTTTTTGTTTGGCCCGGACGTGGCGCCAGGCTAAATTCTAGGCTGCATATTTCTGCCGATGAATAAAATTGTTCGTCTGCGAAGGAAACTTCGTTTGTCGTAAATGTGAACGTGAATGAACTGGGGTGTCATTAGGTCTTTAGGGGGATTACACGCTTTTCTTGTCTCATCCCTTTGTACGTCGAGCCGATAGAATTTTTTCCTCTCTCTCTCTCTCTCTCTCATTCTTCCATTTTTTTTCTTGATATATCGCTGTTCCGATGATGTAATGAAGATAGAAATATAACGCGTTATGTCGCGATGTGCCCTAACGTATCAAATCGGCTTGTAGACGCGGTCGATTAACCGATATTCCGCGCCCTTCTATCATTCTCGGGGGCGGAATCCTCTCGGTGAGCCCTCGAATCGATGGCACTCATCAATCAGTAACACGACAATGAGATCTCGAAAACGATCGACAAGAAGGAGAGGAGGGAACGGGGAGAGACGAAGATAGATTTGACGTTTCCTTGAACGATAACGGAAGTCGAGTTATCGGCTACGTCAAGCTGTCGTTACACTTGTATCACCTTCTCCCGCTCGTGATAGCGGCGCGTCTCGCCGCGAACACGCGATTATTTATTTTACCTCTCTCACGAACTGTCATTTGTTATGCAAATTAGGCACAATGACGCACATACGACTACACTCATCTGCAAAAAGCGAAGTGACTAGACCGTGAACCGTGCCGACGGTTGCAATGTTTAACGATCACGCTAGAAAATTACGCAGACGGCCGCTTCGACTCGTGCCGCGTTTATCGTAAAAACACGGCCGTCGTCGAAACGGCGCGCGCTCATCGCAAAAACGACGCTCGTTGCTCGCGATGCTCGTTCCTCCCGTGTCGCCAGTTGTACACGGTTATTCAGGGATAAATGCACAATGAGAAAAGAGGTAAAAGAAACTGAGTTTCCTCAGGGTTACGCGAGTTTCGTCGCAATCGAGTGAAATTGAATAAAAATCGTATCGGATCTCAACAGTCTGACGTATAGGCATTTCCACTGCGAAATTTGGTCAGCGATAAGAGGTAAACAAAACTGAAACGTAGTTGTGTGTATCATATAAATGTTTTCTCAACTGACGGAAGATTGGCATAACCACAGAATACGCGAGTGATTCTACCTTTGGTGAGAGATGGTGTATCATACAACAAATATCGATCGATAATGTGAACCGGTGAATCGGCTTTATGATCGCCACTTTGAGCTGAAATTTCGAGTCTGTTTTACACGAACGAGAGATTTTTAAAAAAATCACGAAATATCGTGGAAATTTTATCGGTTAGTTCACTGTATACTCTGAAATTGAGTCCGTTTAACTCGTATTGTTTCAGTGGGTTCTTTTTTTCTTTTTGATAGTATACTCGGTGTCCGTGAAAAATATAGCGTTTAGATATACGTGCGAATCGGAAAGAGATGAATTATTTAAAAAATTCTCATCTTTCTTTAGAAAACACACAAAACACACATGATGCGTGATAAATCATTAAGCTCACCGAAAATCCATGTCCGAAGTTTCCGAAGTAAAATTCATTTTAGACACGCGAGTGTAGTATCTCGATGAATTGCTCACTTGATTACAACAATTAATCTTAATTTTTGCAAAATTTACGCTCGCAAAATTTGCACAAGCACTGTTTCTATAATAAACGAATCCACGAATCCACAAATCTGAGTATGACTTTCTCCGAGCACAACCTCGTGATCAATTAATTAATATTTCACGAGGAATGAAAAACACTTTGTGCTGCTAAGCAATTACAGTTAGAAGAGTTTAATTACGGTTCGCTGTGTAATGTTCCAGATTTATGAGATATTTTTAACTCCTTTGAAAACCCCTAAATTAGTTGGCTAGGATATTGTTTCGGTACACGCTTGAATTAATTTAGCGCTCCGACACTCTCTATTATTCATTGATACAGGAATAATTTTGCTCAAGGCATGCATATCGCAGGACTTTAAATTGGAATTTAATTCACTTATAAAGCGGATTATGCTAGCGGAAAGCGATAAATCACGATTATGCACGTGTCTCACCGACTGGAACAATGGTATACGTCACATTTTCCTCATTTCGCACGTGCGCGTGTAAAATCGGATTTACGGAAGTTCCAATTATGAAATTCATTTGTTTCATTGTAATATTAGGTACTACAAACGCGCGTCACCATTGGTCCCTAAATCTTTTACAAATAATATCACACTGTCGGTAGGTACACCACCTTAGCGCAGTAACTTTTTTCATCGGCGAACAATGCGATTTAATCTAAACGTTACATACACTACGTACGTAAGATGACACTTCGTGAGCATTTAAATTGTCCACTCACCATTGTACATAGATATGCCTAGCTCCATTCAGCGGTGAAGTCCTCAGCATCCAGTTTCCGTAGCGTCCGGTCCACGTCCTACGTAGATAGTATTTCACACACTTCACTTAACTGCATTGCACTCGTGATCGCGATTTCAACCGTTATTAAACGATTTAACGAAAAGTACGGTTAATTTCGACATTTCGAGAACCCACTCGCGAGTCGCGCGTAAACTAATCGTGAACCGAAAATCGCGCGGCGCCCGAAAAAATCGAGAAGAAAAAAGAAAGAAATCCATTTCGCGCGGACGATTGTATCTTGCCCGAAAACGGGGTTTTTGTTTTGCGAGAATTTTAATTCTTGATGGGAAAACATATATATCGAGTTCAGGTGATTTATTAACTTCGTCACGTGTGGAAAATTTAGCAATTTGGCGTGATTACGACGGTCACAAAATTGATCGCGAACGAAGTAAACAGTCGCGAATTCCGCGTGTGGTTGCGCATTTTGATGCGCAATTATGAAGCGCAATTTTAATGCTCAAATCTGGTGCGCATTTTGCATCGCTTGAAACAATTAGGGGATCGCATTACATAGATCTGTCGAATAATTCCGTATCTTGAATAAAATACAAGTGAAATATAAGTTCAAGTATACATAAGTCGGTTATTTAAAGAAACGATTCCTCGACGCAAGTAATATGTTTCGATGGACGACACAAACACATACATGCAAAACACCACATTGAGAGAAAAGCATTTTACATATGTAACTGTATAGTGAAATAATTATAGTTAAAATATCTAAATGGGATGTTAAAGAATATGTAGCAGATGCTTTAATATTATTTTTTTGTTAGAGCAAAATAAAATAAGACGTAACTAGCGTTAAAAATGATGCTAATGAGACCAATTACTTATTTCTCTTAGTGTGCATGCAAAAATCGACGAACTGAGTAAATTGCATTGCTTTTTCTAATGATCAATCTCCAATAAACTCATCATCATAAATCATTTTTATGTCTCACCGAAATATCGAGAACTCAGATTTACTATGTTCTGCTACAAATCTGAAGCAAAAAATATAACATCGTTGATTAAATACAAGGTTTAATGACTTAGCGAGAAAAATACAATGGATACGAACATGTTAGACTCTTTTGATCATTATAACTTAATGATTTTTATTGAGATGTCTCAATTTTCCATGTCCCAATTTTCGATCGCAAAAGATTGAATGCAAGAGTGCGAAAGTCCATAAATTTACTTTGAATCGACTCTGCTCGGCCCGAACCGGATCCTCCGCAGTATCCACATATCTATCGTGTGACCATTAGCATCGTCTGATTTGAAGCAAAAAACAAGTTTTTTGATTAATCATCTGGAAAAATGTCAACATATCAAGGATACGGAGCTCAATACTATACAGAACAAGATAATAACTATTACCATTTTGAATATCTCTTGAAATATAAGAGTGCGAGAAAAATTTATCTAATAGAAATTGCATTAATACCAAATGCCATCACTTCGAACTTTTATTTTCATTCGATCGTTAATAAAAAATTTTTATTTTTTGAAGATATTCTCTCTCTCAAGGTGGTTAATTGCTTCATTCTGTATATTCGAAAGTACTAATAAAATTATAATATATCATTTTTATGCATAATATTATATATGTGATATTATATATTTTTTATACATAAAATTATATAAAAATTATATAAAAATATGTTGTTATATCAAAAAATGTCAGTGTATCAAAAATACGAAAGTTGAAATATTAATCTTTTTAATCGATCAATTAATTTAATCAAATTTAATCAAATGAAAATAAGTCATAGTTACCCTTAATATTCGAAGATGCCGCTGCTCAAAATAACTCGAGCATGACGCTACACATGTGAAGTAATGTGACGTACTTCAGATACACTCTGATCGAACAGAGAAAATCAGGGATCACTCGCGATGTCTCCCGGTCCATTAACCGGCGTGTCAAGGACTATTATGATCGCTCCGCAGTTTCGTACATATGTATGTTATTGGTCCCAAGGTCACGTGGCTTTCAGCCGGCGAGATACGTCTAGGAGTACCATTACATTTCTTATTCATTAATTTAACATTCTCCACATGGTAATATTAGCATTATGTTATTTTATAAATATTTAATTCTTGCGCGATAACATCCACTCGTATTGACCGTTGAAATAAGCAATGACTCACATCGAAATCGAAATAATCAACATCGCGAAAAGTAGATAGAGATAACACGCTCTTTTTAAAAGAGAAATTGTTCACTGATATTTAAAACTTCATAATATCGATAAAAAAGATTCAAGATTAGATATTTTTAGAAATGGGCAAAGAAGATTAGATATTCTTAAAAATGTATATAGAGAAAAACATGTGAGAAAAATGTTACAGTTATACTTTAGCATGCGCCATTAATGAAAAAAAAGCAAAAGTTGGAGCTCAAGTGGCAGTTCTGTTTGCAAGAGCCTTCGATAGTGTTATTAGCGCCGTTTGATTTTGCGTTGTTCTGAAGTTTTTATTACCTTCTTGCGAAAATAAAAATAACACATCAGTAAATGATTTATTTGACAATGCTATTTTATAGTGTGAGTTTTAAACTTTTTAAATCACTTTGGATTTTATGCCAATCTCTATCTGTGTAAACATCGACTCAACATAAAATATTGAAGTAACATAAACATATGTTAAATCAACACATGGGTACATTAAAAATTTAACACAAAAATTTTAACAAGGACGGATTTAACACAAGTACAAAACGTTTTTCTATTGTGCGTATATCAGTGAACCTCCTCTCTCGTTTATCTCTTTTGAATTTCCGCCGGCGAGTAATTTTATTAAGATTCAACTTAAAAAAGAATGTAGCCGGTTTCGTGAAATTTGCAAGAGAACTTGACAGCACCTCCGTGCGTGTGTCGTATATGTGTGCGCGAGTATTACGAGCGTGTTTAACGCTAAAAGCAACGATCAACTCCTCGAAGTTCATAATATTCGCTGTACAGGCAGCACGTACTCATACAAGATACACTGCACGTTATCCATAAACTTAAACAGCATCGATATAAGGTGAAAGCTTAACTCTTAGAACACGTATCTGTGGCCGCTAAGCGCCGCTATAATGTTTACACACATACACACACTCACCGTTTATTAAAATTTATTATACTTATAAAAAATTCCACGTACGTCCGTTTTTTTGAAACATCAATTAATTTCCTCAACTCATTATTCATCTCGAAATGTCAGAGGACTCACATTTTTGCTGTACGACGCTGCTACACACAGTCTGATTTTTCATTTTGTAATTACTTTAATTTGATATGCGTAATGTAACAATAACGTCGCTATGGGAGAGAAGAGTCGGGCGAACGAACGACCGTATTTAACGCTGAATGTATCGCGAGAATACGAACAAAACACTCATAATTTATCATTAAACATGTTCGTTTGATTCTTGTTTGTTCTATAATTTACAAAATTTATTAATTACACAAAATTACAAAATACATTTGCGATTGAATAAAACTTAGAACGCGCATTGTCCGGTATTTAGCGCGAAATGCAGTGCAGTGGAATATGGGTTAAAGTTTTCTCTTTTTCTCTCTTTCTCTCTCTCTCTCTCCCCCCTCAACCCCCTTTTTCTCCCTTTTTTAGTCTAAAAGAGTATGATTGCCTTGGGGCATTGAATTAGCGAGACAGTTGGGTTGGTGTTAAAATAGAAGAGCTCGTTCCGTAATTGAAATCCGGTTACTTTCGGTTTTAATCTTGTTCGATTTTATTTTCGTTTTCCTTTGATTTTCGGCCATCATCCCCTTCCACCGATCGCACACATCCGTGTGTGTGTTTCGGCACACTTTGTCGATCGTCAAAGTCCGAAACGGCAATATCCGTTTTCGACTGTAATGAGATGTTACGCAACAAAGTTGGACGGTTACATCATGATCACGAGTGCATGAACTCTTTTAGTTGTCTGAACGACGACGACGACGACGACAACAACCTTTCTTCGCCGACTTTCTTTGTAAACTTTCAATGAAGCGCTTTTAACCGCCATGGGGACACTTTATCGCGCTCTCTCGATAATTTTTTCCCCAGCCACATTGAAACCATTAATACAGCTTTCGGTTTTGTTTTTATTTTTTTATTTTACTTTGCAACGATTTCGGGGCATACAGCGTTTTTTCTACCGCACGAATATCTCGTTTCACTCAGGTGGTGTGGAATTACCGTATGTGAAATTCTGCCGACGCGCAGCCGGTGCGCTTTTTCGGCTCACGGCGTGTGAGAAATTTCAGTGGGATTTAAACGCGCGGATCTATCGGTGGACACATTTAATTGAATGTTAATTGCCGCTCCTGCTATTTGCCGGCGCTATCTGATTTGTGCGGCACTAGCGTGTCACATTTATGAGATGTGAGAAACGTCGATTTTTCGCAGATAATTATGGAGGATAATTTGCCGAGGCGTGTTTGTTGGCTGTGATTTGAGGACGGCTTGCGGACGGTTTGCAATTAAACGTAGCAGTAAAAATCAGCTCAACTATACGTCTCCCTTCTCTACGAGATGTTCCCCAGGCTTTCCCTTCGTATTCTATATACTTCATGAAGCAAAATTTTGTTCGCAAAAAGTGGAGTGACAGCCGAGTCACTCGACGTCAAGTGACTTTTCATTCATACCGGACGAATTCTCCATTTCTAAATCGTTGAGTATCTTCACTCGAAATTGAAAACGTAATTCCGACGCGTTTCATCATCACAGAAACAAATTCACTCTAATCAATTTAAACAATGTATGGATTAAGTATCCTCCAAATTTGAGTTAAACGTTCGTTCTTGTGACTTCACTCTAAACAGTGCAAAGAGTATTCTTTAAATTTCTTCGAATAAAATTCTACTCGGAAAGTGAGATGCCAGTCGAGCCTTACATGACGTGAATTCCTCCGTTCCGAACCGTCGAGTGGATATTTTTGTCCGAAATTGAAATATTGAATTGAATGTATCCGGCATGTTTCACCGTCATAGGAACAAACTCACTCCGATCGATTGACCCTATGCGACACTCACTCGTATGAGCTAAGAATTCACTTTAAATTGAATTTTAACATTCGCTCTTGCGATTTCGAGTGCCAATATTTACATTATCGTCCCCAGTGAGTTTGCACTCGTTTTGAGTGAGATTTCACTCCTAGACATTTTGAGAATAAGATCAACATTTGCCGATTGCTTTGGATAAACATCGACTACTTGCGCAGCCACTCGCGACAGATATTCCGTGAAACGTTACCGCATTACCGATCTTGACGGTAAATATTTGAGTTTTAAACGCGTGTGTTTATTCCGCTTATGTAAATCTTAGTTATGTAAACTGCAGTTCCATCTATACGATCGTGTCTGTGTTAGATAAATTCCGTGTAAATAAGCCGCAGCTCTCGTTCACCCAGATCTGTCGGCTGAATACGCACTGTGTAACCCGTTGGTTGTACACAGCCGTGACACGTGACACAATCGCACGAGCCAACTAATTAACGAATAAAAGAGAATACCACCGGCTGTATAATAGATGCTCTCGCTGCAAAGCTGATACCTGTCCGCCATCTGGACGCTGTTCGCTTATTGACGACGCACCGAAACGTGCTGCCGACGTGCAACTCTGATGTTGACTGCGTCTCAAGTTAGAGCCTTAGTAAAATAGCTGGCTTATCTGCTCAAAATAACGTTTTTGTTCCTTAAATCTTTGTCTTAAGTGACGCACGATAGCTGTCTTGTGTTTGAGGGTGTGTCTTAAATTAAAAAGCCGTTCTGTTTGCGATTGATGACAAACCGCTGTATAATAAAAAAGAGTGAAGAAATAGTAATTTCGACAAAGATTTAGAGCATAAAACATTGTCTTAAAATGACAAATCAGCCGTTCTGCTAAGGCCTTTACGATGATCGCACAATATTTATTTGATATATAGATATTTGTCGCGAAGAGAAAAAAAAACGTGAATACAATTGTATGAAAAATATAATACAATATAGTAATGTATTGTATTAATTTTAAAATAAATACGTAACATATCACGCATATATTCATATTTCACACACTTCTTACCTTATTTCGATGTAATCCTCTATCTTTTCATTTATTCCGCTTTACGGTAATTTTTCCGCTCGTTAATTCCGATATTTTGTTAAAGATAACGCACGATATTTCGCTGGAGTGTCATTAAAATAAAAAAACGCATTTTCCATTATAATTCATGTTCGTGTGTTACGCTCAAACTCTGACGTAAATTCAGCCGTCGGGAATGATTAACGTCGTGCATTCAGCGCGTGACAATTATTTGTGCAACAAACTTTCATCAATGTATCTCGATTCGAGAGTCGAACGCTCTTTTCTTCCTGCTTAATGCGCGCGCGCGTAATAGCAAACCAGCTTTGTCGTAAAACGCCCCGCTTCATTATTTCATGTCGCTGCACCTCCGACCGGACGCAATAACGTTCATTTCTATGCAATAAAGTAATGATGCATCGTCTCGTAGTCCAATGAAACGATTTCCTCAATAACGCGTTGAAATTTCCGCGGCGCGCCGTCGATTTGCCTCCGTCCGACGAAGTTGCGCGGCAATTACGCCTCGCGCGACAAAACTGCCGTGATAACTTTTGCGGAATAATCGGCAAATTGCCGAGCGTTATAATGCGAATATCGTGCGTACGCGCGATGTGATACGTTCACGCGTTGGTATATAGAAAATATTGAGAGCGCTCTAGAGAATATAACGAGCGCGCCATGCTCGCGCGGATTGATTCAATGTGGAAATTCACAATTTCAATCCGGAAATATCTTTCGAGGTCCGGTTATTTCGCGCCCGAAGATCCGACGACGTATTTGTTTTTTTCATTTAACGTTCGATGTTGCGGACGCTGGTTTGCAACTAAAAACTAAAAAGGTGCAAAAAGCGTGCGTCCAGCTTCAAATCTGTAGTTTTAGGCGATCTGTAAATGGCAGCAGAGATGCATAAATTCAACATACTACGTATCGATATTATATTACGTCCCGGACGCGGATGTTGGATTATTGAAAGATACGGAGTCGCGCCGCGAACGCAAGGCTTCGGGTGGAGTGTAAATGTCCTTTTTGGGTCAATGGATTTAACCAATTTACCCTGGGATGGACGAGGCTGTATGAATGCTGTTGTGGATATAGATGAGCGGGTATGTGCGTGTGTGTGTGTGTAAGATTGAAGGAAGTTAATAGATAAAAAAAAAGTTGCAAGAATTAAATTTATTTACGTTTGAGGAATTGTTTTGAGTTAAGTCGTACTTGACGTAGAAGCCGAGAGAGAGCAAAGCCGCGAGGGAACAAAGCTTTTTCTTTGCTTCTCGCGTCACCTTTTATAGGTAGGTAATGAGACACCCCCGCGCAGGTTCCTCATTACCCAATCAGGGGCAAAGTGCATCTTACGCCATAAAAAATGAGTCAATTGGGTTTCTCTTGCGATGCATTAGAACTGTTGGTTTTCCAGCGCTATCGCTGCCGATTGCTTCATCTGAAGCAATGATCTGATACTTCGGGGTATCCCTAACCAGAAGATATTGTGTAACACGTTACGCGAACGTAACAATTATAACGTCGATATTACTTTCAGGTTCTGTTTTTGTTCTCTTGTATTTTTGAATTTTATTCTTTGCTGTTCTTTTTTTCTCCCTAAAAGAACCGTCTGTTCTGTCTGTTTAAGCTATTATTATTTAATATTAGTAACAGAGACTCTATGAAATGTAAAATCTAATATTGATGTTAGGCTCTATTTTCTCTTCTTTCTCTATTTCTATTTACTGACGTCTATTTCCCTCTTTCGGTTTTTAGAAAAATAATATTGTGCTAAATTATAAATTTATTGATATGTACATATAATATACACACACACATACAGAGAAAGAGCGCGAGAGAGAGAAAGGGACGGGGGGGGAGAGGAGAGGATTGTTATATTAAAATAGAGCTGGAGCATCTCGATATTTCTTCTAGGGCTCGAGAACTCCGGGGAAACGCGGTTCTCCGTTACCATGAAGTATTAACGACGACTACTTGGGTTTCCGTTCTAGTCAAGAATCGTAACGGATACGTGTAGCCGCGCGTAACGTGACGTCAAGTTATGCCCTCATGTATACTAGACATTTATTGCTTACCTCACTTTTGCCATTATAACTCATTAATATTCCACGCGTCGTTTGTCGAACAGATGCCGGGGAATGCAACGGTGGGTAGCACGCTGTTAGAAGAGGAGCTCCATCGAATTATTATGGAGCGTAGGGAAGAATGCTTGAAGCTGAAGGCCATGAACACGACGCCACTGTCGGGTAAAGTATAATATATACATATGTACACATTTATACATACATACATACATACATACATACATACACACATACACATATATATATATATATTTTACGTTTAAGAATAGTACATGAAGAGAAGCACACGAGGGTTGAAAAGGGGGAGGGGGAGTAAAAATTGCGGGTAAGAATGCGAAAGGGCGCGTACAACGGCGCCTTTGTGTCCGAGGCCGCGAGTATCGCCTTAATATCGATTTTATCGGGCCCTCTTGCTTTATCTCGCCACTCGATAACGACTCACATACTCCCACATCACAAACAACTAATCGACTAACGTGATTTTTGTACAATTCCATTAACAGATTAAAAATATCTGTCAACGTGCACTTCAGCTTCGGATCGATCGATCGCCGGTAGATTTTGCACACGAGTCTGTGCGCGTTTTCGAGTGGTGATGGACACTACGAAACGAAAATATCGGCGATATAGCGCGCATGTGTTGATATGACACACACATACACACACATATATGTACACACGCATGCACACTCAGGTAATGCGATTGTGTTCGACGCGAAAATTAATACGGTACTGTATATCACGGCAAAAACTACGCTCGTTATATAATACAATCAATTAAAAATGCACTTTATTAAAACGCTACATGCGCTTCTCGCTTTACTGAGGGGTAAAGAGAGAAGAAGAGAGAGAGAGAGGGAGGGAAAGAGAAATATTTTTCTACTCTAACGATTCGTTTCTATCTGCCGTGTCTCTCTCTCTCGCAAGTGGCGAACAGAAGTTCGTGTATAAAATCCCAGAAGGAGTTCCCCGTTCTCTTTACTTGTTCTTCTTCGCTTTGATCGCCGCACTGTCCTTCTTTGTGCACACGTGCGAACCGAACAAGAGCCTCTTGAGTTTCCGAAGAATAAACATCACGACCAGAAGCACCACAATGACGATGAGCAGCAAGAAGGCGTAAACGTCCAATAAATGACGTTGCCACCAGTAGAGCTGCATGGCTGGTGATTGGAGGAAGTTCCCATATTTCTTAATGTATTCCACCCAGAATATAGCTGTATCCAGGGGGCTCAAAGGACGATCGACGAATAATTTCGAGAAGTACTGCACGTTTTCACTGAAACAAACAAGAAAGAGTTGGTGGGAGATCGATTTGACCACAGGAAGCAACGCGTTGTTCGTAACCTCTTCGCGAATTACTTTCTTTTGGTAACGTTTTCAGTAACCAAGTGATGACAATAGACGTTTTGTTAGAAATGGTAACGGTGACGCAAGTACATCTTTTGGCTAACTGCAACGAATGTAAACGTTATTTCCAGTATATGCTGAATTCATCTACACGGGATGGGCAAGAGCGAATCGTAAGATAAGATAAAGTGAATCGGGTAAGATAAATTGTAAAATTTTTAAAACTTGATGGAAAAAGTAACGGAAATTACACCGATCTGTTATCTCTTGAATAACGATAACGGTATTTTTCAAAACAAGTAACGATAATTCGTCACTTTGGAAAAGCAACTTTCTCAACTCCGGTTCTTCTCAGTAACCACTTGGTGACTAGGTTATTTTAATTTTTAGTTTTAGTAACGGTAACACGATCACTTTTTTGGGGTAACGAGCTATTTCTCGAGATGAGTAATGGTGAGGGCAAACCAGTTACCGATAAGAAAACAACGACCCCGATTCGACCGGACACACGTATGTTTCTTCGCGAAACGCAAAACCGTTTATCGTCGAAGCTGGGAAACTCGGGGCTGACAGCATGTTTTTACCAGCGTCACCGGGAACCTCCGATACCGAGGCGGAATCTCGGTATCTGTTCGGGCTGAAAAGCGCGTCAAACGTTCCGCTAGATTTTGCATTTACCCTCCGCCATTCTCATTCTATACAGATAAAACGTTCGGTCTCTTTATTCGCGCGCTCTTATGCGTGGAACACGCGCCCCACATGGGATTTCTTCACGTAGATGAGAATGGTCGGCGGAATTTAAAGTACATATCGATTGACCAGAGTTGATCCGCGATATGCATTCGAGAGTTAAGCAAGATTCGGTTACAATAGCGAGCACGCTCTGTTTGCCCCGCGATATGTAACGGCGCAACCGGTGGCGGCGGATCGATACGGACGAGCTAATAAGATTTAAAGCAGCGAGCCTCGAGGCTTTTGAAGTCCTTTTAACATGTGGCCGCTGGTTGTACAACTTTACTGCATTAACTTACATCAAGCAGAGCCGCGTTCCTCTCGCTAAACAAAGTTATTCTATTCGCCGGTGGGAAGATAAATCCACGGTCCCGTGAGGATTGTCAAACGGATAACACAGGATGAAATGAGATCCGGAAAAGTACGTGCAGGTATCGAGCCGAATCGCACGAGAGTGAAAAATATGGGAGTGAAAAAAAAATCGGGAAGAAAGTGAATATAATTGAGGAAGATATATTTTACCTCGTTATCGCATGTTATGATATAATAATGACTGAGGGATCGAGTAGAGATTAGTAATTACTTGTGCAAAAATATTGGGTTATCGTCTGTCCGGGGCTGTCTGTCTCTCTCTGATGGGAATTCTGACTATACCGTTGTGTTTGCGGCCGCGATACGATCAATGTTATGATTTCATTAATTTCCGTCGAACACACCACGATTAGCAGCCGGGCGATGGCGTAACGCGCTTACGATTTCAGCGGCGTCCGTCGTCTCGTGTACTCACCGATAGGTGGGATCCTTCAGGATGCTATTTAGCGCCGATGTTAATTTCTCCTCGGTGACGTCTTGTACCGAATTTAGCGAGATAGCTATCTTCTTCCTCTCGTAAGACTGAATGTTGATTTTCTGATCGCCAAACAGGGGGATGCCGATCATAGGGACTCCGTAATAGATCGCTTCCTGCGTGCCCATGAGACCGCCGTGCGTAATGAAAGCCCGTATGTTTTTGTGCTCTGCAAGAATTCAGAGGTGGTGCGTTGTTTTCACGGTGGAAAAAAAGCGTCATCACGATCGGGGAGATCGACAAATAGAGGGCGAAATTTTTCGGGCGAAAATGAAAAGGAAAGAAAAACAACGGGGAATAATTTAAATCAAATCCAAAGTTGAGAGAACGCTTTTTCGTATAAATAAAATACCGCGCTTTTTCCGAACGTTCAGATTTAACTCCGAGAGTCAAATTCAACGGCGCGTAACGTTTTAGTTGTTTAATTGACTTTCAAGATCCGCGATTATGCTTTCCTTCTTTTTAAGCACACTGGAGATAATTTAAGTTTCTTTCTCCGATCGCAAGCAGTATCCGTTACTTACCTCGTAAGTGACTAAATTGCGACGCTGATTTTCCTTAATTGGCAGTCGCGTTTTCAACAAATCCCGTCGAATGCGCGTTATCATAAGTAAGAAGTTAAAATTTTTGTTGAATTTCCATCGTGAGATGAAAATCTCGGTCGAAGGGTGACATTTTTCGTGAAGTTACTCGATTTATATGCAAATGCCGTTGCGCGCAAAACGCGCGAATTCATACAGCATACAAATGACCGTTCTAACGGCGATTAATAAGAAACGAGGATATCTATCATTCTGACGCAATCGCGTGGCGGACAGTGATTACGTACTGAGCACAGCGATTTGTGGAAACCAAGATTGCGTCATGACGTTATCCGGTAATCCCGGCAGTAGGTCTTCTTTTTTCGCGACTTTCATCAGCACGCGAACCGGCGCGATCTTCTTGAACGACGCATAGAATTCTTCCATCAATTCCTTAGAGAAAGTTTCGATCCTGACCATAGAACCGAATGTGAAGTACACGCAGCCGTCCTTGCTTTCGTCCAGCCATTTCTGCACTTCCTGTAGACAGATCTCATTTTAAAACGAATAATTCGCGATGATTAATCCTGCCTTCCGAATTCAATGAACTGTCGTGAGATTTTCAAGTGCATGATATCTTAAAGTAAGAGAATCTTTGGAAAAAGAATCGCATTTAACTTTTCCTTAATCTTCTCCTTTCAGAAGGAATCTTTAAAATAGAATCTTCCGGGTGTCGCTCGGAACTTTTATAATGAGATAAATCTAGCTGCCTTGGAAGAAAAACATCTCGTTAAATTGTGATAAAAAAATATACGATATCTCTTTACAGTACTAATGACTCGGAACATGTTTATATACATCCCTCTTGTACGCGTATTATCATCGCCAGTGGAAAGCACGATATTTTTAGAAATGTTCGATAAAATCTCTACGCGGATTTTTAAATGGATACAAATAATCCATTTGTTACCGATTCGCGGATCGGAGGGAAATATTCCGCCGGATATCAAAATGCTCGTTTTCCATCTCTTATAATTTTCATCTCTAAACCGTAAAACACACGTGGTTCTTGTTATATCCCTCCCGCTTTCATCGTTTCCACATTCTATCAATTTAAACGGGATGAATTTTATATTCCGCTCGAAGGAGCGGCCGTTTTTCATCCATCGCGTGTCCCGACTGTTCCCGTCCGAGTCGAACGCGGAGGAGACAAATGGCAGCGCGTTCGCAACGATACTAACGATAAATCGTCCTCGACTCCGTCGATCGCGCCTCATTGCACCCAAGAAGAGCTCCGAGATACACGCGTTGCGGATAATTGAGAAAGCCAATTTGTTCAAACGTACCGGTGCGAGTGAAACATTGTCACTCTTGACGTGTAAACCGCCCACTTCGACGATGGCGGGGGTCAACGGTCTGATTCCGCTCAACGAGTAATGCGAGTTGACCAGATACAAAGATATGTCGCTGTACAGGTCCATGATGGCCGTGTCTTGCATATCGAAGTACTTCTTCAAGTATTCGGCCTGAAATTCCGTGTGGTAGAGGATCTGCGCGGAGATAAGGTGCGACGTCAGGAAGTTCAGCATGCGCTCCTTGAAGTTCATGTGTTGTCCGAACGACGAGAAGAGGCTCGGTACGTAGGAGGGATTGAACGAGTTGCCGGACAGCTCGTTGAGCCAGTCGTGGAAGCTGCAGGTTACCGTGGCGACGAGCGGGACTTTGAGATGACGGCCGAAGGCCAAAAAACATGGCGCCATAAACACCTGTGTGTGTATATATGTGTGTATGTCAGTCGATCGATTAATTAATTATTCGACGAGTCGCGCGTCTCTTAATCGCTCGGTCCCCGCGCGTAAATACGGATCAAATCGCGCTTGTTCCGCGCGAAGACGCGCGTGGATCTTACACGTTTCGATGACGGATCAACGGCCACTTAGCACTCCTGTTGAGCTGCACTTGTTTGCCGCGCGAGGGGGACTGAAATGCCATTTATGATGACACTTGCATCACGCCAGCGGCGGTAGAAATAAACGGGACGATCTGTCAGGAAACGTACGGCGGGAAAGTGGTCGAAGTGACGATGATTGAGTGAACGTGCGACATGCTCATCGTCGATTATTAATATGAATGGCGACTTACAATTTATGATACGAATGCTCAAGGCTTTTCTAACGTGTTGATCGCCGCGTTGGCTTCTATTGGTTGTTTGTACGAAAGCTCGGCCGACGACTGGATCGTCAATGATAAAGCAAACAAGCGGAGTTCGAGACGCGCAAATCTTTTGTAGATTGTAGATAATGGAGTGAATATTAGCGTAACTTCGAAATTGATTTATCGCGTTAATCTAATATAACGACGTGTTCAATTGTCGCGTTAAATTCAACGAAGTTTTCCGGCCGGTAAGCGAAGCTATTCCAGGGCGCGTTGTGAACTTCTTATGAGAAACTTTAGATAATTATATATATATATACTATATTTCGTCTCTCACGCGACTCTCTATCAGTTCTACCACCGATTTTTCAAATATAATAAATTATACTTTAGACAAGACTTAATGGGACGCGATGTTTCATTATGTCAGCCACCGCTCACCAGTGACACTAATCGACATGTCAGCTGAATTGAATTTTACTAAAGGTACGCGAATAAATGTAAGTCGAGACGCTTACCTTTCATCTGATTTCATCAGCTATCAGCTGTACAAAATGATTTTTCAGAAGCAATTAACTCTAATATATTATATATTAATATTCACATGCCTCTTCGAAACGTAGATATCTTTTACGAACACACTGACTTCCAATTTGTTTTATATTTTGAAAAAAAAAAATATATATATAATATGTGTCACGTTAAAGAGATTCTTTTAAAGAGACTCTGAGTTTCCCTTTTTTTTAATCACTACACGTCTCCAAGACGCAAGGTTAGGAGCACAGGCTCAAGGTAAAGGATCAATATTCTAAGGTTAAATATACATATTTCACGCAACATGACTTAATGAAACGCGGCAGTGCGTGTCACGGGTGTGTGTATCGGGATATCGCGATAGATTCGTCAGGATGTCGAATTTGCACGTCGCAAGATTAGCGCACGGTCGAATTTTACAGCGCGATTTATCGGCGCTGTTCGAAAACAAATAAAGGTTCGTTAGAGAGCCCCTACGCCGGCAATAGATACGCACGTATGGCATGAGATGGATCGCATTGTGCAACAAGTACCATACAATTTATATCGAGAGATCCAAACGCTCGCGCTTTGTTGTGTTGAGTGCGGCAATTTCGCGTGCCATTATATCTATTAGTTGCAGTTGCACTTTCTGCCCTGCTCCGTTTCTCCTGCTGCTCTTAAAGCCCGTGTATACGACCGTTGCATTTTATAGCGCAAGCATGAACGAATACGTGCGAATAAGACCTGCTCGTAAAAGGTTACATTGTTCTTACTTGAGAGTGGGAATTGATTTATCGCGTTAATATAATAATGACGTGTGTTCAATCGTTAAATTAAATTCAGCGAAGTTTTCCAGCCGGAAAGCGAAGTTATGCCATTCCCGAGCGGACTTCTTGTGGGAAACTTCAGAGAAAGTATAACTTCATTCTACCGCTCCGAAGAAGAAATCGGGCGAAGAGAATCGAAATTCTGAGTTACATCAAATTTGTTGCACAAACTGCACGATTGAGCCGAGCCGAATAAGAATCGAGTCAGATCAATAATCCGACGTAAAAATTTAAACTATAAGATCATCGATGAGGAAGGTTAACAAATTATAACGTTGCATATGCTTTTTTCACTTTACCAAAAGGTCGACTGAATAGCATAATGTGAATAATCCATCTCTGGAATTAACAGGTTAAATAAATAAAACGATAAATACAAGCAACAAGTATCGGGTCAGCTTTATAAGTTTCATTGAGCTATATTTTAAACTATAACTTTAAATTTATTATACTTAAGAATTTGGCTTTTATGTAAACTAGCGTTTAAAAGAAATTTTGCTAAAATTATCAAAACAATTAGACCGCTATATACAATCTCAATATTGAGTTTGTTCAAGCAACTTGATTCGATTTATTTTGACTGCTCTTTTTTTATAGCGCATTCATAAATCGTCGTATATATAACAATATAAAAATCATATATAAAAAAGTAATATTTGAAAAAAGTAAGTAAAAAAAGTAAAGTAAAAGTAAAGATAATGAAAGAGATTAAAAGGGGGGGGGGGGGGTAAAATGAAATTTTTATATAACTTTGCCGCATCATCGAAAATAATCGAATTGATAAATAATCTCGATCCTCGAATGTGCAGGTACTCAGCGTGTGATTGAAAAATCCCGATGACCATATGCCTCGAGTAAATATTAAAGCCATTATGTATCGGATTTTGTTTACAAAAATGGCGACTGTTTCGTGATAGTAGGTTACTATAGTCACTTTTAGTGCCTGGAAATCCATTTTACGGTGGACTATTCGTCACATGGTCATTGTTAGCGGCGCGTAATAAGTAATAAATTCAAATATATCTATTCATTTCGGAACAGCTGCGTGTGCGGGTGGTGACTTGAATGATTCACAATTTACAGTTTGACACATCGCGTCGAAACTTGATAAATAATGCAACTATTTACCGCAACATTTTATTCCTCGTATTACAGCGTATTGGAGTCATGCGGCTCGTGCACTATAACGTAACGCTCGTGCGTACGTATACGTGTTCTTCATTGGGATCGTGAGTCATGTTACAATGTGTACCGTAGTCGCGTTGCACTTCAGAAGATCGGGTTCGAAATGTATCGATAGTCGTTGATGGATGTTATCGCGAAAATTCGTCGGTCGCGTTAACAACACGTTCGCTACCAGGGTCTGAGAAGAAAATCTTGCATCACAGCTTAGGGTGTTTTTTGTTAAAATATGTCCTCAATTGATATGGGTCTTTCTAGGATATATTTATAACATAAAAATGTAATTATCTATATAGCTCTATAGAGCAAGGACATCCTATATTTATTTTATTGATTTTTAGCTCGACAATATTATTCATTTCGAAATTTATTGCAATACGTTATTATAAGCTGATAAAGAACACGCACTGCACATGTGTGGCGGTGGATTCAGACACAAGAATCAGAACGACGCATATATGCGACGGTGGTAGCGAATATGTTAATTAGCAGCAATTGAACCAGTGAAGTTGTTAATTTTTTATCCTACATGAGATGTTTGACGTAACAAGTGTACACAATCACGGATCGGCTTGTGTCTATTAACATGTATCGTCGCAATTTCAATATAACACACAATTTTAGATATCATTCAACGTGACCGAAGAGATCGCACAAATTAATGGCTTTACAATGACGCAACGTTTATTATTACTGAGAAATAATGACGGAAAGCGATATGTTATGTTCTTTCTTCACTGAATAAAGATTGAAGTTCACAGTTTGGACGAAATCTAACGTACCATCGTTTGCGAGGGGGACTATGTGAATGTTTAATAATTAATTGATAACAATCGACGCTTTCGCCCCGCGTTACACGGCAGGTGGCGCGTGTCGGTTAATTAACGTCTCATTAAAAGCGGTAGTAATTTTGATTTAACGAAGCCGAGTATTCGCTTTCAATCCGCCTGCGATTTATGCAGTTTTATTCATTATCGTGCCTGAGTATCGCGCGTCGAGCCACCACGTTCAGTATCGTACGATAGATCATCGATTTTTCGCGCCTCTCGTTCGAGTCATTTAGTAGTAGACATCAACGTTAATGCGATATACTTCATAATATTGTCAGACGCATCTCAAAAGTAAGAGTCGGCCAGACATTTAAAAAAGACAAAGTAAGAGAAAAAATTGATGTATAATTTTATTACTAATACAACATTTGTGTACACACACGGAAAAGAAGTGCTAGATTCAAGTAAATAATTACCCCGATACTTATTAGCAAACTTTTACTTGGATCAAGTAATATTTATTTGATCCAAATAAAATACTTTCCAAGCACATTTTTTTCTTATGTACCTATTTTATTTTTCTACATAGTCGTCATTTTCTAAGCACTTTTAGTACCGGGCAACAAACTTTTTTTATGCCCTTCGTATAAAGATCCGCCGTCTGAGGGTTCAGCCAATTTCCACTTTCAATTCGTCACTCTCCTCGAACGGTTGAGAATTAAGCTACTTCTTGAAGTGAAGAAAGATAAGGAAATCACTCGGTACGATGTCTGGGCTGTAGAAAGGGTGTTTAAAAAATTCCCATCGGAATTGCTCTCTCCCATTATCCAGAAGATTTAGCAATTTCGATGGGAATTTTTTACACGAAAAAAAATGCTGTTGAATCAATAGAATTTCGCGTAATTGCAGTGAGTCTTCCTGATTTAATGACGATATCATCGAAATTATTGAACATTGAAACAATACACAACATGGTAGTTTTAATGATATTTGCCATTAAATGAAGAAGACTCCAATCACGCTGCTGTTGAAAATTTTATCGATTCATCGGATTTTTTTTCTCACCCTCCTTACAACCCAGACCTCGCACCGAATGATTTTCACGTCTTTCTTTACTTCAAAAAGTGACTTGTTTTCCAACGGTTCAAGGAGAGTGAAGAGTTGAAGGAAGCGGCAATGTTCAATTGGATGAACATTCAAAAAGTGGATTTTTATGCAGAAGACATAAAAAAATCTTGTTCCCTGGTACTAAAAGTGCTTGGAGAACGATGATGACTATATAAAAAAATAAAGTATATGCAAATGTTGTACTAGTAAAAAGTTTTTTATCTTGCTTTGTCTTCTTTTTAATGACAGACCAGCGCTTACTTTTAAGACATATCTCGTATCTCTTTCAGGTAAAACATAATCGTTTATGAAGTTATATAATTTTTTCATCATTGGTTATCAATGGTCTATAGCGATATAGTAATTGAATTTGTACATCCGCTGTATCACACACTGTCATGAATACGTGGACACAATATGATGTGATAGAAAATTATTGGTGATTTTAAATCTGGTAAATGTTATAGGCTATTATGCCGATCTATAATACGGCTAGGAAAAACAGATCTACAAACAACAAAGCAAAACACAGGTCTAAACTCACCTGCATTACTAATTATCTTTAGTTCATCCTTGGTTAACACGTTGACTGCCACGGAACTTTTCACGATTCACTGGTCTAAAAAGCCAATTTGATTTAATCATGTTATATTATTAAAAACTTTAATTATAGTACATAGTAATAATCAAAAAGCTTAAAAAATGTTTTTTTTTTTTTGAAAAAAAAACATGTTACGAATTATCTCGTAGTTGGCAGTCAACGTGTTAAAATCTGCGTCTATATACTCATTATGTTTACATGTTCCGATGTTATTCATGAGATTTTCTCTCAAGAGTCTTGACAACTGACTCATCTCGCTATTATCAGCGCAATTATGATATGATGTAATATTGCATAACGTATTATATATCTTTCATTACAGTCTATATGAAACTTATAATCATTTTATTTTTTGCGTCATTGTTCCCTGAACTAGTTCGTCTTTTTTTCTTCCAGGAATTTTCATAATTAGATGAGATTATGTTGAAATACTTATAGCAATTGAACGTGTAATTTTTTTCCTATCTATAAAAAATTGCATATCGACACGCGAGATACACGAGTATGATCTCTTATAAAGAATCAACGACACACAAGGACGAAGCTCTTTTCACGTATTAACCGGCGGAAGTACGAACGATCAATGAAATTTTATTCTTACTTCGCAATTCTTGATTTAAAATGGACTTCGCTCAAAAAAGGAACTTATTTCACAAGATTTACTTGCAAAAATACTCGCATACGCTGATGGAAAATTACCAGTGACCTTCAATCTTATCTTAAACTTTTGCGCTTCGCTTGATCTCGCGTATCGTTCATTCTTTTATAAGCTGCAATAATAACGCACTTTGACTAGAAATTTGTGTGATTTTGATTAATTTGGTATGTTGATATCATGAAATCGAGAAAGAAATCGATTATGTCTCCGGAAATATCGAGAAACCGGGCTAATCGTTCGATCGACGATCTATCGTGATGCAGTCAATAATGTATTATAAAATCGTTTCCCACACTTACGAAAGTGCGAAGGAAAGTGTTGTTGACCATACCTCTACAATAACAAGGTCGTAGGGAGGATCCTGCGGCGGGTTCTTGATTAGATCTTGTATCTTCGGATGGGCTAGCAGCTCACAAATATTATTCCCGGCAATCTCGGTCAAATGCTTCATAGACAAACCGCCAAACGCCTGGATTTCCGTCGCGGAGATATTGTTCCGAACATTCGGCAAACTACCGAACAGACTGATATCCGTGTAATTCGGTACCGGCTTCTTCTGCGGGAAGTGCGTTATCACGTCCACTTGATGACCACGTTGCGCCAAACCCTTCATCAGAGGTTCGTTCATGACCCAGTGACTATGACCATGAAGCGGAAATACGCCAAGGATCCGGAATCCATTGGCGCTTTGGTCGCAGGTCACTAAGATCGCGAGGAGAACCGACAGCACCTTCATGTTTATTTCGGATGAATTATTGTTCCGTGTAACAATAATTCTCGCATTCGATTATAATCCAGTACACTTTGCGTAATACCTCACGTTGTGTGTGCGTGTGAACGCAGAGAGTAAATGCGATTACCTAATTCCGTCGAGTCACGCACACGGTTATACCTGTGAAAACGTTAATTAGTCACGAAAACAAGATATCATGATGTTATTATCTTTAGCATTTTTTTTGCACGTTGAAGAAGTATTAAATCCCGATATGATGATAATTAAACATCTATAACGCTATATCTATTACGTGAGCGATCGCTTAGACAATGTTAGATAAGATCTGCCGACTACTGTTTGGATATTTTTCTTTTCTGAGCATGGGTCTTTAATAAGAAAAAATATGACGCGGCAGAAAGTTTTTAGATCTCTAAATTTTTTTTTTTTTTGAGTTCATGTATGTATGAAAGTCAAAATTGATATGGCGATTCGATCGATGATGCAACGATGACCGATGATTCGATGATGCAATAATTTTTCAAAGTGAATACAAGAGAGATTAACATTTTTCTTTTCATTCTTTTTTACATTGCTCTTCTCACTTGTTATTTCATATATGCTACACGTTACAACTGCTGATTATACATTGTTATGTTTATTTGTTCCTTAGTGGCATTTTAATGGCCCCAGAGAATTTCTTTGACGCAAGCGAATAGTTAAATTGCTTATCTATCTAACATTCCTACACTAAAAGGTTGTATCTCCATTTTTCAAATTACTTCTTCCGGAATAGAAGAGGACAATATCCTATATATGACAATCTATTATTTATATTTTCCGAGCGAAAACGACTGCTGCAGATGTCTTGAACAAGTGTTCATAAAACGCCAATGAATTAAGATAAATGCTTCTAAAATTTCTAGGAGCGAACTCTCAATCAAAACAAATAAAAATTCACTCGAAGCGACAGTGAAAATATTGCCATCTAAGAATCATATGTATGAATGTTTTAACCAAGCTCACAGAATGCATTTTGACTTTATACGAGTGAATGTTTTAGATCTAGTTTTTCATTTTCTGATTAATATGGTTTAGACTTAACCTGATGATAACATAAAAATTGTTTTTCTATTCATGATCAATCAATAACATATTTCATCCGTAAGCGGAATATTCCGCGCATGACGATCGCCTCCTATCACCGAGCGCGGAATATTCCGCGAGCCGCGACTTTCTTTTACCACCGCTCGCGGAATATTTCGCACGTGACACAGTTCACGTTTTGTTGTCAATCTGTGGACATTTGAGCTATTTTCATTGCATTCTTAAATAAACCATGTTAAATAAACTCTACGAACTATTCGGAAGTCATTTATTGTAGAAGTTTACTGTGTACTGTAGAACGAGTGTACTGTAGAAGTTAACGAAAATAATAAAACTACCGATATACGGCCGCGCGTGGTGATACGGGCCAACCGTCAGTTGAACACCGCTGATATCTGAATACAGAAACTTAAGAAGAGTTATTATGCAAATAGGTCAAACTTTAAAAATAACCACTACAAAACCAACCGAGAAACACAATTGTTGCATCATCAGTTTAAATTTAAACCACAAGTTGATCAGAAAATAAAAAACCGTACCTTAATCGATTAGATTAGATTCACCGTTCAATTTCGAGTGAAAATATCCACCCGACGATTCTCAAAGTAGATTCTGATGCGGATTCGTATTTGCTCTACTTGAGTGAAAAATCACTCGAATTCGATTGACCGAGCTGTCACTCTACTTTTCTCACTCCAAGAAATTCAGAGTTCCCCAAAGAAAAAAAAGCTAACGCGCTTTTATATTTTTTACAAAACTTTATTGGAAAAAGTAAAAAAATATCAAAATTCGACCCGTTCTGCACTGCAAATTCAAGTGTGTAATTTTATATGTAGTCTTTCTATTGCACTTTTTATTGCACTTGCACACGTGATAATACTATGATCTTACACATAAATATAAAAAAAAATTATATACTTGGAATTGCCGTGTAATTCTTACAATATATAATTTTATAATTTTTACAATTATATACAGACACCGCCATCACTTCAAATCTAAGTGTGTAATTTTACACACTTTGTGTAGTTACCTTTTAAAAAGTGACTATACAAAATATGTGAAATTAGACACGTGGATTTGCAGTGATGGCAGTGCCTATGTAGAATTTTGCATTATCGGATTTAATTGAAGAACAAATGTTCTCACACAAACGTCGTCAAGTCGTGATTTCAACGGCACACCGTGAACAAAACACCGAACTGACAACAGATGATGTAACGAATGTGACGATGTTACTCACTGTGTGATATCATATGAGAAATAGGTGTATGAAGTGTCAGCTGCGGATAGTAAAGAGACACTGACGTGCCTGGAAGTATTCACTCTCTAACGAAACTGCAACGAAATGTCTTGTGTGTGCACGGTCAATTTGTAACTCCACTGACTGACTGCTCTCCCGCCAAAGAAAAGATAATAAAGGAGTTGAGTCGGGTGGGAGAAACGTATACCAGTTTCTTTAGCATCGCGTGACCAGTAGTACGCATTAAAATCAGGTATAATATTATGACGAAATGCCAACATCAACAGCTATATTTTTATATATTCCCGCATGCCACTTTCGCAGAAGTTATTTTCGCGATTATATTGGCTGTGATCCGAAAAGCAGCCTGATAATAAGCGCTTTGCGCTGTGCTGCCAGCGCAAAGCGATAAGATCGAACTATAAGAAGCGAACGATAAAATTTTCTTCGACAAATCAAACATGTTTGGAACATGTAAGCGAGACATGTAAGACATACTAAGCGATGCACTTGATCGTTTATTAAACCTGTTGGAGCAGCGTAAATTCCTAAGTATTGTTCGGCAGAAAATCTTACAACAGTTACAAAACACAGCGGGCAGCGCTTACTAGCTGCTTTTTGTACTTTGAACACAGCCTTTTTTTTTATCATATGTCATTCCCTCGAAATAATTTCATTAGCCACGATTATTTTATGATGTATTTTCGAGCGTTCCCTATTAAAATACATCGCCTTAGAAGTTAATAATTATGTTGATTCGTTTTTTTAGATTTCATATTTTTAAAGATATTTGTTTTCGTCGTGACGATAATACAAGTGTGTATGATATGATATCGCAATTTTATAATAATAATAATTCTATAAATATTACTTCGACGTATATTTCTGCTTCCTTGACCTTATTGTTAATTTTTCTTTGAGTTACCCTCGTGACAGATCGATTTGCACAATCTATCATACAGTGCAATATGTACTTTTCATATGAAATAAAATCAGTGACTTGAGTTCAGCAGAATCTGCTTTTTTCCTTTTTTGCTAGAATATTTGCGTCACACGGAAAGTTCGTCGTTTCTTACTGTGTACTTTGTTCCGCATGCGAGAATACATTGCAAATAAAGCTGAAAAAGCAAAAAGGATTCAGGCTTGGCTGAACTTCAGTTTATAAGTTTTCCGCAACGCGGACGTACGGAAGCAACATGTCCAGGATACTTGTGTTTAGATTCCCACAAATACACACACACACACACACACACACATTTTAACAGATAATTTAGCGATCAATTTTTCACGAGTTAGTACCAATTAATGTTATATAAGGCACTGATTGTTATTTATAATTTTTTCTTACTATTTTTCAGCGCGAATAATGATGATGAAATTAAGGATAAATTAACTCTGAGCTTTTCGAAAATTAATTTAATTAAGAATAATAAACTTCACTTCGCTCCCGGCGGATTTTACATGTTGAAATATTTCGTGAAATATTTCAAACCGCTTCTAAAATATTTCCGATCGGAACAGTCGTCGCGAACCCCGGTGCATAAGTCAGTCCTTTTGATCGCACCCAAAAGCCGCTCCATCAAGCACGAAGATTTAAGGGTTTCCAAAATGTGTATGGATTGAAATAGACTCTGACGCAAGACGCTAGAGCCAATATCTATTTTACTTACGTAAATGCACAATGGGCTCGAAGAGGCTCCCTATTACGCCGCATGTATGTAAATGTTTATGCGACAAGATAAACAACATTTTTATCGTTGAAGGCGCATTCGTTTCAAGGGAATTTATTAATGCTATTTCTGTAATGTTAACTTTATAAAATGTGCGGTTATCTTGTACTTCGCAAGAAGAAATCGAGCGGGAAAATGTTCTCCATATGGGTATTTCAGTCATTCTTTCGGTATGACATCGTATACGTGACTCGTTCTCACGAACTAGTCGCGAGGAAGCAGGAAGAAAGTGATTTATTTTCAATAAAAGTTGGTGGAACCGCATGGAGGTTTCTCTCTCGGATGAAATCCGCGTTATCAGCGTTTCTTCGAAACTTCGCGTCTCGTGAACAAATGCGAACTTCGCCGGGGCACATAACTGAACGACGGAATCCCTCAAACGTGATTTCGCATTAATGCGGTGCATAGAGCCACTAAGAAAGTTAGTTCTCCGTCCGTACCACGTACGCTCGGATTAACGATAAAAATTAAATGCAGATGAATTTGATGAAGACGATTATTTCACAGCGAAGCGTAACCTCGATGTGGCGTCTTTATTTGTGCCAAGATACACGTGTAGGAGAGACTGAACTAACAATCGTATATCTCAGGTGCTCGCAATAGTTTGAAGGAAAAAATAGTGCGAGTTGCTTTAAATTTTTCTTTATCCGTCCACATAAAAATTTAACGGTCGTCCTCCATGCGGTTCCACCAATTTTTATTGAAAATAAATCACTTTCTTCCTGCTTCCTCGCGACTGGTTCGTGAGAACGAGTCACGAATACGATGTCATACCGAAAGAATGACTGAAATACCTATATGGAGAACATTTTCCCGCTCGATTTCTTCTTGCAAAGTACAAGATAACCGCATATTTTATAAAACTGTATGTAAATCTGAACACGATTATTTCCTAACGAAACATTATTTTGTTGCGACGTTTATTTATTATAAGTACATGTATTTAGGACTGGCTCAGTAGTCGTGTAATGCTAGCATCGTCTTCATTTTTAATAAATAAAAGGGAGTCTTCAAATTTATCTTGTACGCTGATACGAAGAATTCACGAGTCTGAATACTTTTGTATTAATGTGGTGCAAAGAAAGCACTAAGACGGTCGTATTAACCCCTTGGCCTACACGATATCTGCCAATTGCGCGAGCTATAGTAAACAAGAAAATCGGTCGCGCGCCGTGCCATTCAACTGTTCAGCCGTGTACCCGAACTGGCGCAAAATGTATACCTAAAGGGTAAAGGGTTAATAAAATGCGTAAGTTACGCATGGATTATGGACTTATATATATATTTCGCTGATATATATCTTTCTCAGCAAAGTATTATCGTATTTTATACGACCTTTATTTATATCAAGCAACACAAGTGTACAGGACCGATCCAACAGTTGTCAATTTCTCGCACGTTTCCATTCGATTTGGGAAAAATTGCATGGCGGTCTTGAAATTTGTTGTACCCGTCCGTGTGAAGATTTTACGTGTCTGCGAAAGCGCGTGCTTTACGCGCGCCGAGATGTCTCTAATCCACCGGTGATCAGTAACAAGTAGATAATATATATCGCGAGGGTTGCCGTTTACGACCGCGTCATAAATCGCGCGGAAAGATTTATCCAATTTGTCGCGGTGACTGACGCGGTGCTATATTTTCTTTTTTTTTTCCTCGCGATACGCCACGTTACCGCCGCCTTGTTACATATCGTCGTTTAATCCCGATACGCTGTCAAACGTAACGAACGCTTTTACGAGATCATCGTTGGTCACGATCCCGCTGTAATCGCCTACTCGAATTTCTATTTCAGAGCCATATTGCCGGCTTACATTCGATGGGTGGTCCTGTTGGCCGGACACTCCAGCGGGATCGACCGTATACGCACCGTGTCCGAACTTCATCACCGGTTTTGACGCATCGTGTAAGTACACGCTAATAATAACTTCCCATATCTATAAATACACCCATATCGAGAGGCGATCAAATTAATAGCCGTTGTCTTCCCACCGGTCTTGATTTTTATCTGTTAAAAAATATTTCACATAATAATGTATAAATACGTATAACTATACAAATAATTATACTAAATTGTTATTTAATACCAATCGTAGATAATTATGTATAATTAGATATAATTATCTGATTACTTTTGTGCAGTTTTTTTTTCTGTGCATGCAAGAAGGTTTTCAGCAAGTCTTTAAATCTCAACGTAGAGGAAATAGCCAAAAGTTTTTTCATAGCTTCAGAAATGCACAATAGAATCAGATAATTATATCTAATCATATATAATTAAGTATGATCAGTATTAAATAATTATGTATGGATAAATTTCATATTTAATTTAGTGTAATTATGCACAGTTACGTATATTTGTGCGCGATTATGTATGAAATATTTTTTAATGTGTACTCGAAATGATGGTGAGAATTGTCTCTGTTTATGAATGAGATGCGAGCTATTTTCTATCGCATGTCGACAATATTTATCTTTCCCTGATAAAGTCAACTTTGCATATCTCGAAATCTTCAATCTTTGTTATCTCATATTTCGATACTCTCCATACGCTATTCAACCAAAATATTTGTCCGCATTCCTCGTGATCCCCCGTAATAATTATAGGAGAAGAAGATATTATGGCATTTGTAGATATTATGATCCCTCTTAATATCTCCATTATTGGGTAGCGAATTCTAGTGATTACTCATGGTATCATTTATTTATTAGTCCAACATTACGTAGTGGCGTTAACATGCCAATATATAATAGCCGTCATTCGTTATCACGTATTTTTACTTTTGTGCATTTGAAATTCTTTTAATTCATTCAAATGTTTTCAAGGTACATTTTAGTATTAAATTATGTACGCTTTCTTATTTTTCTTGAACATGTTATCACACGAATATATATATATATATATATAGATGTTTAACATTTCATTCGGCTATACATATAACGTCCTAAATAATNTATATATATATATATATATATATATATATATATATATATTATTGTTTTCTTCGTTATTTAATTTCATTCGGCTGTATACACTTATGCAAATATTATTTAACCAACTATTGTTAAATAATAGCATGGCATTTTGTTAATGTGACTCCCTATGAGTGCTGATAATATGACTGTTTTTCGAAATTTTTATTTCAAACTTTATGGAAGTATAATTACTCAAAAAGTTGATTCTCATCTATAATTCACTGCCGCCCTTTCATCTACACTGCATTGCTCTTTCTGACAGATTGTATTCTGATAAGTAAGTTAGTATCTACATTAAAAATTAACGGTCGCCACATTTTCATAAACATCCTAAGCAGGATTGGGAAAGTTACTTTTGAAAAATAACTCGTTACTCATTGAAATACACTTTGCGTTATCGTTACTCGTTACCCACTAAAAAAGTAACTCGTTACCGTCATTATTATACAGGAATTAACGAATAGTTACAATTTCTGTTACTTTCTCATCGAATTTGCGTAATGGGGTACTTCACAAAACTTGTTTATTTCACTGACATTAATGTTTAAATTTCTCAAAAGTAACTTGTAACTCGTAACATATGTATGAAATGTCCTCAGTTTTGTGAAAATTAGGCCAAAAAGTCTTTGTGCTCTGCGTTAACCACATTTTCACCGAAGCCCTTTTCTTCTTCTTCTTCTATAAATACTACTTTTAAAAAACGCCTATATTTGTAACTTTGACTACTTTGTCACAACTGTTCTTCATATTTTAGTATATCGTTCTAAAGTCGTTTTGAGGATTCCAAATGTAATTTACGAAACTTTACGATAGATCATTTCTCCATTATTCCCAGAAATATAGAAGTTTACTTCAGTGACATAAAATATCACACATAAAATCTCGCACAGATTCTTTACTAAAGTGATACGAAAAGATCGTGTGTACAAATGTACTGGCGGTAATAAAAAATAGAATTCTATCATTGCTTACTTTATGTGCAAATGTATCGAAGAAACAATTCAGTCGCAGAGAGCATAGCGGATATATTAAATAATTTGTAGCAACTTTCATCTAGAAATAATATGTCAACTGACGTGATAACAGCACGCAGTAAGAGACATCTAGCAGTAATTGTTGCAAAACATTTAATTACACAGCAGCATCTCTGTAAGAAGTTATCGATCATATCCCATTATATCTCGGTTTCCCTCACATATATATTGCACGTGTGCAAAGTAACGATAAAAGTAACGACAATATTCGTTACCGTTACCCCAAAAAGTGTAACTACGTTACCGTTATCGTTACTAATGAAAAAATATAACGTCGTTACACCAAATCATTACTGGGAAAAAATAACTGTAACGGTACACATTACAAGTAACGTGTTACTTTCCCAACCCCAGTCTCAAGTAATATTTCATTTTGGATCCAGAATCGATTAAACAAAACTTTGACGGACCGTTAAATTCTCAATTGAAAATACTGATTGCTGACAACAAAGTTATTGTACAAAATGGTAAAAAGAAGACAATGATACCCACTTTCCTCGAATAATCGTTAATTTCGCAGCAATTTTATCGCGGGACGAAGTCATGCTTGTCGGTACCGATAATTACCCGACGATATCGCACATCTTCACTTCCGTCTGGGAATTTCCATATCACACGATCTGTAACAATTCGCGAGGAAATTCGAAACAGAGAATCTTGCTTGTACGCTCGTGCGCACCGATATATCACCAGATATCTTTAGCCGGCTGGCTCGCGCACGACAGCGTTATTTATGGGGACGCTAACACAGGAGAGCAATTCGCGTCACTCGTGCTGTCTTCAAAATCAGCGTTCAAGAAACTTTCCGAGGACGGATACCTCGACGAACGAAGGAACTTCTCTTACTTACCATCTCGAAATGTCGATCGACGCTAACTGGCGTCATCTCGTCCGGGAAATCCTATCCATTTACGTATAAGAGATTATCGTTGGAAATTAGTACATCGATGGCCCGCATAGAAATATTTCTGAACAGACGATTGTCAAACATACGGAAAGTGAAAACCGCGGTTGTTTTGCAATTAAAGGGAAATCTTACGTGTGTTCGTACGTTTTTCCTTTTTCTTTTTTTGCTCCCCAATAAAGTGGCCGCTTAATATATGTCGCGCGTTTTAGGAAAGGTTTTTATGGTATGTTGGATTATTGTCAATAAAAAGGAGTGATTTATGTGCCGCAAAGAATGCATCCGTTTGTTGCGCGTGTGTTAAAAACACATATTGATAAGAGAGAGAGAGAGAGAGAGCCGGATGCACGCTATGCCACATCATATCCGTCTGAGCGCTGTTTAAAAATTTTATTATAGGATTAACGTTATACCGTCGCGTTTATCGCACGCGTCGGTTTCTGTACAAGCCCGTTAAACATCTAAAAAACTTGAAGACGCGAAGATCGCAAAGAGCTGTTGCAATCGTCTCGAGTCGTTAACCAGCAACATTTATTGCGCTGCGCGCTTATTGCCCCTGGAAAACCACCAATAGCGTGTTAAAGGCCTCAACTGTCCATCTATTCATCGAAATAAAAAGAAAACGGTCACTTCAGAGTGAGAACTCACTGATGTGTACGGTTGATATATCTTGTCGGTGATTCGGAGGAGCGACGGCGATGGGNGGGGGGGGGGGGGGGGGGAGGACTCGCGCGCAAAAGTACACAGTTCGCACAGGTTCGCGAGTGAAATCGTTGATTGCGCAACGAGGAATCGCGGGACACCGGAAATAGCGATCGTCGAACGTCACTCGGGATGTAGAACGTGCGTGAAAACAGAGCTTGCCCGCCCGCGGCTTACTCTCGGCTGGTGGAGGATCAGCAGCTGCCGCTGCTGCTCCATTGTCAATTGTCAGCGGGGTAGATGAAGCTGTTGTAGTCGATGCGGTTTTTACGCTCGTTCAGGAGACAGCTGACGGCGGGGTAATTCATGTTCAAGAGCTTGCTCATAAGTTCATGGTATCTCACGTTGCGACACGGTATGTACTCCGATACCAAGCACGCGGCCATGCAGCAGGATTCCATGTTACCGGCCCCGATGAGGCCTTCCGCGACGCCGAGCCTCGTTTGCATTTCCGTGATTAAGTTTCCGTCGAATGCGTGGCATATGTTGAGCAAGTTCTTGAGAGTGTCGGTCATCAGGGGCACGAGCATCAGCGAAAACGTCTCGACCAGTTCGGGTATCTTCCTGCCGATGTGCAGGCCGTACTCTTCGGGTGTCTTGCTCTTCGTCCTTGCCTGTTCTTGCGCGTACACCAACAGCAAGTAAGACGAAGGATCCATTTCAGGCGTTAGGACGGACAGGAATATGTCCAGCATTTCGCCGATGACCCGCGTATCGACTTGCCTGTTTACGGAGGAGGCTTCGGTCACGAAGCTACATATGAGGCAGCCGACGGTGTAGTTGACCGGATAAAAGCTACTCTTCTTCGGGTCTTTCTTGTCCCAGCCTCGCTTCACTTCCTTCTTGAAGATGTCGGAGAAGATCTCCATGCGCGTCTCGTGCGTCTCGTTGACCGACAACAGGTACGAGCACACGATGGTGATCGTCGAATTCGAGATGTCGTTCACCTCGTGAAACAGGTACCTTCGCATGAGCTTCTCGACGAAGCTGCTGGGCAGTTGGTCGCAGGTCGGCCCGGTGAACATCTTCAACATACCGGTGATGCACGACAGCGTCTCCTTCACCGGCAGCCCCTTCTCCCACAGATCGTGTATCACGTCGAAGAGCAGCTCGATGTAATTCACGGCGTATTCGGGGGGCACCAAATTCGCATTGAGTTTCGAGAACAACAAGTTGTCCGTGACATCCATGGTCGAGATCAGATTCTTCAACAAGGACCAACTGTGGTTATTCGGGTTCTTGAACAACAGGTCCTGGGCGCTTTTCAGCAGGAGGGCCCGTATCGAGTGGTGCTTCGATTTATTCCACATGAACAGGAGGAAGGTCTCGAGTTGCCGTACGGGCGCCACCAAGCACATCATTCGTACGCCGTGCTTCGTCACGCCGACGCGCTTGTCCGAGAGATTCGCCGCGAACGACATCACCTCCGGCAACGGGGACCGCCTGCACACGCTGGTCAGCGCCGACAACGCCAGCCGGAGGTAATCCCCTTCGCATAATCTGCCGATCAGTCTGAGGGGTACGGGCGGATTCGAAAGTTTCATGACGAACGGCAAATTTTGCACGAAAGCGTAATCTTCCCCGGCATTCTCGTTGCTGATGTTCACCGTTGTCTCCGTGGGTATCAGAGGCTCCACCAACTTCGCCACGGTGTCGCCATGAAGCAGCAGCGCCATGATGGCCAGGTAACTGCCCTCTTTCTTCTGCTGTAGATTCTCCCAGCAGTACTCCAGAAACCAGATAGGCAGGTCCTTGTACCAACGTGTCGCTCTGACGAAGCGATGCACGTTTTTGTCGTGGTAATAAGTCAGACAGGCGGTCAAATACTCTTTCCAGTTATCCAATATCGTCTGCGTATTCTGGTTCAACAGTCTCAGCGTCACGCCCGATTTCAGATACTCGATGCGGTCGTCTTTCTTCTCCTTGAACCAAGAACGGTACAGTTCCGGCTCGTGCTTGCGAAACAAACTGGCTACACTCCGATTGTAATAGTGATAGGGCGCGTCCTGGATCACGTCCTGGTAGAGAGTGCGGAGCAGCCAAGGATAGTCGTTGATCCTCATACTTTCGAACGTGCGCGACTTGCTGTACTTCTCATTAAAATTGTACATCGCATAGACGATACTGAACACCAGCTCGTTTTTGTGATCCTTCCACTTGTCAGCCTTGACCTTCTCCTCTACTAGTTCTATGCAGGTGACGAGGAACCGTCTCTTGCAGTATGGCTCCTTCCTGAAGATATAGTCGAAGTTCACACAGCCTCGCTTCAATTGAGACTTCAGGACCATCTCGACCGTCTCTGTGATCGGCATGTCGTGAAGGAGTCTGTAGTGAAGCAGGCCCAAAATAACGACCTCCGTCGCCTTGCCGTATTTCACGAAAAACATGGCGATGATGTCAGACAAGACAGCCCAGATCCTCTCGCTCAAGCGAGGCAGGTCGTAGAACACGTTGATCCTATCCAACACTCGATCGTACACCCAGTCCTCCTCATTTTTATGCCTGGTCAGGAAGTACTTCATGAAGTCGAGCAACGCGTCCTCGTCGTTGTTCACGCTGCACGTATAGAGCATCCGCCACATCAATCCGACCCTCTCGTCCGGCGTCATCGCGGTCTTCATCGAATTTGTAAAAGAAGGTATCGACTCCGCGGTGGGCAAGTAACAGAGCCAAACAGTCTCGTAGGACATGACGTCCAGGTCGTCGTCTCGGAATTCGTTCTCCTCTTCCGCCATCTTGATTCTGGCGTGCTTGATCCGTTCCTCGGCGGGCATCAGCTTCAGTATGTCCGGCGTCACGTTCTTCGGCGTGTCGAGGAACTCCTCGTTGTATTTGGTCTTGTAAGTTGCACGGAGGAAATCGAGTCTCTTCTCCTTCGGATAATACTTCAAATACTTCAGCAGTTTGTCCACGTCGAAGGAGCCGGCATTTTCCGGCATCAATCTCGGAAATATCATCTCCATTCGCGCCGCGCTGATCCTCTTGAGCGGCAAGATTTTCATATACAAGTGCGGCCTTCGCAGCACATGATGCATCCCATTTTTCAGGAACGCGTCGGCGCATACGTTATTCAGTTCCACGCGCGGCGGATTTTCCTGGTGCATCTCATAGAGCTCCACGAAGGCGTCCAATCGTTTCTTCACCAATTTCGACAGGAATACCTCGTAGTCGTGTATGTTGACTCGGAAGGAACCCGTTGAGGCCGGATCGGACAGTCTGAGGTAGCGCACCATAAAGTCCATGTTCCTGCGGAAGAACTTCTTGGCGACCGAGAGGGGCAGATCGACCTTTTTCGTCACGATCGTGCTGTAAGCGAAATCGTCGTCGCACACCATGAGCAACAGCAAAGCGTACTGAATGCCGTAAGTGGACTCCACTTCAGTGAACATTTCCCGCGCGAACTGCGGATCCTTCAATCTGAGGGCGAGCGTCTTTATGATGTGCAGCCTCGTGTTTACGGAAACGTACGGGAAGATCTGTTTACGGAAGTATTCGACGTTCACGACGTCCTTGCAGCTGCCGTTGAAGAACCAAGATGCCTGGAGAGCGCGTCGCACTATCGTCACGTCGCCGGACTTCAAGGCCGACGTCACGTCCTCGTATATCTTCTTCCTGACGGCGTTCTCCACGTGCAGTATCGGCTGCAGCTCCGACGGCAGCTGATCGATATCCCCGCTGGCCATCTCCTGATCCAAGTTCAGTTTCCCGAGCCATTTCAACTTCTCACCGGCGGTGTCGCCCGGTATCTTTTGAATCGCGCTCAAATATGGCGTCGTGATCATCTTGCCGGTCACCGGCTGCCACAGGAACGTAAATACACGCCGTCTGGTTGACACGTGAACGTCTATTCCTTACTTTCTTTTTTCGCCTCCAGCTTCTCTTCTTCGAAGGAGCTGTCGTCGTCCGTGGGCGAAATTGCGAGAAACACGACCGTTCGCGCGGATCTGGAAAGAAAAAAAAGAAACTGTTTCGTCCGCTCCGTTCGATTCCCAAGGTTGTTCCTGACGTCAATATTCTCGAGACGAATCGGGACGAGGAAACTTTTGCTCGAGGAGGCGCAACGGGAATGTCACTGCGAATTTTGACGTTTGCCAGGTGCGAAGTGCGAAGTGCGCGACAACGCGAACGACAAAAGAAAGACGAGAAGGCTCCGACCAGTCGGCCGGCTGAAGGCAGGCTCCGGTTCTGCGCAGACACAGCGCGCGCGCACGCGCGCGCGTGTGTGTGTGTATGGTAATGGCAACAGTCACTAGCACGAGTACACGTACCGAATACCGTATCGCGTGTCTGCTTATATGACGCCTATCGAATACCTTTGGTCGGCGAGTTGGGTCGTATTGCGCAACGTTCCGCAAGTGTTTCCTTCGAGTGAACTTCCGATACGCAGCCTTCGCGTCCTCGTTCGGGCTGCGAGCGGGATGATTCACATGTGACGATCGATGCGTCGCAACTTCGTCGAGGGACCAGAGCAAACATGAGTAATCGGCCGCTTGACGTATCAACGTGGGACGCATGCGCTCTCGAATTCTCCAACCAGAAGCTCGACTCGACTCGGCTGTCAAGGCGCCGGGCGGTTCTGTTCGTTACTGCACTTTCTGCACTCGGCTTTATCCTCCTACGCCCACTCTCTATCCCTTTCTCTTGATCCTTATCTCTCTCTCTCTCTCTCTCTCTCTCTCTGTTCTCTAGTGTTCAAATGTGTATATGTTTTATCTAGAGTGTGCTGGTTAATGAATAATAAAACGACTCTAAGGTTAATATTCATAGTCATATTTTATATTTACAATGTAAGATCGCTTTAATTTCATTTTAACATGTTAAATAGCCAGTGAGAAATGATCCTTATAATGTCTTAAGATAAATTTCAAACGATTAAGTGCGAAATCAGCTTACGAAGAGCCTGCTAAAACTAACAGTCTTAACTTATCGTTCGTCCCTGTTGTTGTCTCGTTCTCAGGGCCGTATGAATCCGTGGTATTCAATTGCCCCAATGTCAAATAGCATTGAGCATGATTGTTTTTTCTTTATCTGTCTTTAAAGAGATTTTTGACAGTATATGATAAAATGATAGAATTACACGAAATGCCGTGAAATAGTCAATTTTTCCTTCGGAAAAATATTGTGTTAGAATTGAGATACACAGACAATCACCTCAGCGGAAACACTGAAGCGGATTGTTTTTTCGACAAAAAACAACAAAACATCGAACATAAATCTTTTGTAATCGTATATTTATATTTCTGTGTGTTATATACCATACCATAACAAATTATCGTATTCTTCATTTACGAAGAAATCTGCACACAAAAATAAGAAAGTGTATCATATGCTTGATAACCCGTAAGAATAAACAACAAGATCAATCTGTGATTATAATCGACTGATAATTAAAACTATATACGGTTCTATTAATAATCGTAAACTATGATTTCGTCGTATCATATAATGATTTCATACCGTAAAGTACATTCTAGTAATATTTAAAAAAATTCGTTACAAAAAGTAAAATTCGAAATACGACGTCGCTTATTGTTACTTTTATATCGTAATTAATCTCAAAAAGTTAAAAATCTAATTTCGCTTTAGAATTCTAGCGAGCCGAAAATTTTAAAGCTTGCTTTTTATCTTCTCCCAGTCGCAACGTTGCTCGCCTTTACGGTCGATTTTCATTTGCAGTTCTTTATCAATATCCAAGTAATTGTACATCTGTCCTGCTTGCAGCGGTTCCCACACAGTCGGAATCAAATCCGTAACAGCAGGTGTCGGGTTCCTGGAAAATCAATTATTAGTACGAGACTCGCGTGCCAAGTCCGTCTAAAATCCGAAGAAAATATGAAATATTCGATACCCGGTTTTAGCAAAGTCCGTCCACATCTGCGTGAAGCGGTCTGTCGTCTTGTAATCTTCTGAGTCGAGTGCGTACGGTGGTATATCAAACTGTTTCATTACGTAAGGATAAAATAAATAAAATAACTCCTGGACGTGAGTCACCCCTGCAAAATATAAATAAATATCATAATATCATGCGGTAAATTAATTTCATATGCGCAGTGACTGAATCTGCGCTTTAAGTCTATAAAATTCTATCGATTGCGCTCTTTGTGCTCTGCCCTTATTTTGATTTTATTCCAAAATTCCAAGCATTGATTTAACTTTTTCCTGAATAATTGCACATCATACAGAATCACGGTTGGTCTATTTTTCTCGTAGCTACGCTAAAACTCAATAATACTGTTGTGTGTATTATACAAACGCGCTTTCGCTCTTCGGCACTAAAGATCCTTGTACGATCTTGAATCGTACAACGAGTGACGGTTACCTCGATCGGTGATGTTCATCATCTTCTTCAACAAGCATTCTCTATTGTCGTATGAGAATTTGTATAAATACGTCGAATCGTGTCCTATCTGCATTTGTATATTGGCCAGCTCTTGAATGGGACGGTAAAAGAGCAGGTCGGAAATATAATCAGTGTAATGCTTCAAAGTTTCCTTCGTCAGCGATTTGTTACCGAAATACAGATATCGTATATCTTCGGCCGTTATCGATTTTTTCCTTAGATCAGCCATAATTCTGCTTGGTACAGTATTCTCGAAATTGGAATTGACCATTTGAACAGCCTTGTCACTCAGATCTGAAATGTGAACGTGGCTAATATTAATCAATACATGCATGAACATGAATCTGAAAATATTTCAGGGATATTGCCGCTAAAGAATAACTCATCCCGCATCAATCTTTTATCCTCCTCCTTTTCTAAAAAAAAAAAAAAAAAAGATTCCTCCCCGAAATATGACACCCGGTGTGCTTGAATACACGCCATATGATAAATAGCGTACTATAAAAATAACACTCTTTTGAATTGATTTGAATTGAATTGAACAAAATGGCCATTATCGAAGTATAACGACGATTTTCATGCATATTTAAAAGGTACAAACGATCGAGTCCCTAATTTGTCACAACGCTACTCAAAATGCAACTTCGACATGACCCGTAAGAAACTTCTTTGAACGTCAACAACGTAATTCACATCGACGTCCACGATATGTCGTCTTTATAACCACACTTGTTATAATTCTCAACAAGCAGCACTGTGCGACATAATTTTGCGTACACTGCGACACTTGGGAGCTATATCTATTTTATTCATATCGGAGTGCGACGGACTCACTGCGTGTGAAGAAGCTCCCCTCGTTACTCGTATAACCAAGCAGGAGTGGCACTTTAATTCCGCGGCGCGCCAGCACGAGCGGCTTCTCCGAAAAGAACGGATTCGGCGACCTGAAGTCCTCATCTGGGAGAAACGAGAGTAGGAACTGTCGGTTTTCCTGCGAAATCGTGCCATTAATAACGAATCTTTCATTTTAGCTGCTGGTTCCTCACGATAGCCCCCAAAACCGACCTGGTAACACTTATACGAATACCGTAATATTATCTACTTTCGTACGAGCGTAAATCTAATTTGATAATTCTTAGTATTGAATTACTAGTGTTACGTGTGTTGTATATAGGGCAAGGCAATAATTATATTATTGCCAATTATAGGACGTGTAACGTTGTTTACAGGATATGTAACAGTGGGAACTTTAAATCGTTCACGTAAATGTGGATTACGAGTGTGTTACCAAACCGATTCTTCGGCTGCTGTAAACGTAATTCTCGATACGTCTTACTTATACTGACTGCTTCATTTATAAAATCATATATAAGATTTGCATTGCCTGTTTGCAACCCTACTATGCAACGATAAGGCGTTGAAATACTTACGTAGGTGGACAAGAGCGTCTGTGAAACGTTTAGGATTGTATTTGCGTCGACCGTTTTGAGAAACTCGCCGGCCTCCCTCAGATCTGTGGTCTGTTTTCCGAGTTTCTCGGTAAGTTGTAAAGCTTTCTTGAACGGCAATCCCGGTATGGCCAAAGCCCACTGGCATAGCATTGTGCCGCTTTGCATAATCATTTTGTGATATAAACCTACAAAGCGCGCTTTTATAATGAGCATTCGAAGCAGTATTCAAAACTGTTTCCGTGAAATCTGTTTTTCCTCGTTTCCTTCGTTTTAACTCTATACTAGCTACCGTAAAGCTAATGGGTTTTAATAAGTCTTCTCGACCAACTTAGAATCGACTTTCTCCATCGACGGAAATATCGAGGAGAAATATTATTTTTACTTTCTATTGTTTGCAAATTTTAACATTGCGTCTGTTCGCGCAACTGAAATCCTCACGTTAGACTCGTAAAACTCGAGAAATACTCAAATAAAATTCTTTTCGAGTCAAGTCCATTTAGAGGTGCTATTGGCTGAAGGAAATAGACTTTGTGTGTTATTTATTCACGCGTAAATAATATGCCGATAAATTCCCTCCCATTTTTCGTTATTAGAATAATGATTATCACGAATCACAAGCTATTAGTGTCTCGATATTTTCGTTGAGGAAAAATCGACTGCGATGCATCTGCGGTTAAAAGCACATCCGGTGATCTAGTAACGCTCTGTGTGTGTACACATGTGTGTGTGCACGTGTGTATACGTATCGACAAATCTGTGACATGTACCGTCAGCCAACGGGTTCATGGTCAAATAATGCGCTATGGCTGCGCCGACGCTTTCACCGAAAAGAGTGACGTTTTCTGGATCTCCACCAAAGTTTGATATATTATCGCGGACCCACTGTAATGCCATGATCGTGTCCTTCAGACCTTGGTTGCCACCCGCCACGTCGTTCCCTAGATTCAGGAAACCTGAAGAAATATAGCTCGGTTTCGTGAAGTTGACCCGACTCGAGCAAAACTGCGTGGGATTGGGCGATTAACTTATCCGAGGTAAAACTTACGTTAGTAACGATACTTTTCCCAGACCCGCGTGTTTCTGATAAGTAAAATATGGATGTCGAGTTATAAATGCTACGCGCGCGAAAATATCTTTTTTATCCCCCTGGACGTCCAAACGCGCATTTAACATTGCGAATATTTAATGTCCAATAGTTTCAGAGTTAAACTTTCTGTCGATCAAAAATTTCACCGTCACGTGCCGCAAATTTTCTACTTTTTTCAGTAAAGAAATTCTGAAATGTCTACCGTTGCATGATTAAAAAAATTAAAATTCCGACTTTGTATTCTAAATTTTTAACTTGAAATTCTTTTTGCAGTACTTCTCAAGTGTACATTTCATAAGTAAAATATATAATACACGAATATTTCATTATCTGCAGCTAAATTGATTCAAGTATTTGCTGTGATAAAAGGGAGCGAAAATATTTGCTCTGTATTATCTGCGTGAATTTGTGATTCGTATTGATATTCATATTGAATTTTCACTAGTAATATACGATTCAACGACCAGCATTGGTATAGAGCATTAATGATAAAATTATCGCACTGATAATCCAAGTTGAGTCAGGTGACGAATCGCGAAGGCTAATTTATCTGCGTAAAAATTCCAACGAGTTGCGACAATATCGGATGATACGGCCAGTGTGGAAATTAATAACAATATCACGCGGATTTTTGCAACGCTCTGTTTGACCTCAAACTTCTATCTATGAGTAAAGATAACGCTTTGTCCTTAACCCAATCTTTATTAAGATAACATTATGCTGTAATATTGCGTTGATATCTCAACGATGGGCCAAACGTCATTATTTTTCAAGCGAGCTTCTACCACTGGCCTTCTACCACTGTACAGTTTAAAAAGCTAAATTCAAAACAGAAGGCAAAAAACCAAATGCAAATATCGCGTGTAATTTCGTTATTCTAATTTAAAGCCCCTCAACAACGAAATTGAAGCGTGGGCGTTTACAGCGCGAACATTTCTCTCTCTTTCTCTCTCGAGCTTCGAGACTCACATATGCGAGCGAGACACCTCCTGTATTCACCGCCGGGTCTGTGTCTTCTATCTGCGACAGCTTTTGTAAAGCTTGAGTACGCAAGTGCTATTCTGTTATTACCTCGCACCTTTCGCTATTTCCTGTTATTTTGCGATAATGTAATGCAAACCGATAGAGCCAAAATTCCAGAAATTACGTTAACACGCTACCACGGCTTATTTAGGATTTGTCTCTTCACATATAGTGCGTAGTTTCAGATAAATATGTAAATTATACTGATTTATGTAGAAGAAAAATCACCGTTGTTACATATGTATGTGATGTCGGTAGTGTGTATATATGTATCTCTCGACACTAATCAACTTCGAACTAAAAGAGGAATTTTTAATTCAAATTCTCTTTTATGAATAATCGCCGCATACCGCGTTTTTCTTGTCTTTACTTTGCATACAGAAAGCGAAAAAAATACGATCACAGTCGATGACAGCGGCGTACTTACCGAACGCGCCTAGTCTGTAATTCAGCGTCACCAGCACCACGTCTTTTCGGACGATATGGTCGGGTCCGTACATGAAATCATCACCGGAGCCGTTGGTGTAACTGCCACCGTACAACCACACCATTACGGGACGTTTCCCCGACGTCGGCTCGACGTCCGTGGTGTACACGTTCAGGTAGAGGCAGTCCTCGGAACCGTCTAACTGGCGCGTGAACAGGTTTACCTGCAGAGGGGCCTGCCCGAACTTCGAGGCGTCCCGTACGCCGTCCCATGGTTCCGCTGGTTGAGGATCCTAAATACGTAAATCGTCCTTGAATCAAAACGCCAGCCGGCCTCGAGTAGCGACGCTCTTGGTAACGAAGAACATTCGCCACGTGTTCCCNCCCCGATCCCGGCAGAACTCGGCGCGTATTTATAAAATAACCAAGATTAACAGACATTGATCTTTTTATTGGCTTAGCGGAAGTTCGCAGGAGACTATCCTCCAAAGTTTTATCCCTTTTGTACTGTCTTGGTCAGCCATTGGAGATATGAGAAAACTTCAGATCGTCATTCCGTGTATGAAATGGCAGGGGAAATGTGATGTCAAGAAGAAGGAAACACGAACACGTAGGAACAGATTTCATTACATTTTGCGGACGTATTGATGCATCTGTGTAAATACTAATATCGTAAATGGATTTTCCTTGATATCCCTTATTCGATGTGACAAAAGTCCACATGAACATCATGGATTCGTATTCATGGATTCCAAGGGCACTCGCCAATCGATTCATAGGCTGGAAACATCAATGATCGGACAAGGCGATATTATTTTTAAATTCTATTCTATTAACATTTACTTTGTTTCTCGACGGTTAATTTTAATATGCATTGTGTTTCCAAATAGACCTTTATTTTTTCATGAAGAAAGAGAGGTCAGATATTAATCATTTGATTGTGCCAGTTAAAAAACGATAATAACAACCAGCTTGTCAATATTAGCTGATACTATGGTCTATGCAGTGCTTACATGTAAGCAGAAAAAAATCGGCTGAGCAGTAAAGATCGCAACTGAGCTGTCAGTAACAGATGAGCGATCGATATTCGCGTGATACAATAACGAGCCAAAGCGCGCGAAAAATACGCAATACCAATATAGTCGACTTTAATCGTTTATAATTTCAAAACTATTACAGCTTCGACTTTTTCATCTCGAAATTTTCATTTCCGAATTACATTAGGGATTTGGCCGGGAGGAATTTCCCGCGTAACGAATATTCTTGAACGGATTTGAAATTAAAGGAGCTTATTTCTTCGTTCTATGTGAAAATTTTAATAAACCAAAATTTCAGGCTGACACAAGCTATTTTACGGATTATTTAAAACATTTTTTCAGCATATCGACTATAATGTAGATTATAATGTTTTGCACATAAAATCCTATAAAATATTTATCTAAAAAATTCTTTTGTTTCTCCAATAATTATTAAAGTAGCGCAGACGGAGTAAAATTTTGGAGGATAGCTTTACCTCTTAAATCCACATCTTAGTTTATAAAAAACGTATATCTTAATTTTGGTTACTCTAATAAGTGTGTCAACTTTCATCAAAATCGGAACGGAATGTATTTCTTGATACTTCGCTGATATTCCTTCTGAATAATGCACATGACTGCAATCAAACTCTGTCTCTTAGAAAAATATGAGTAGGTTTCTATTTACGTCGAACTAAATACTGTTATCTGTTTGTGAATTACGCAACGGTACATTAAGTGAGTGTCATGTACGTATTCGAAAAAATATTTGTTGCTAAGATTATAGTGCCATTATTATCACGAATTTATGTTTACACGTTATAAAATAACATAAAGTAAATCTTTATTTTAGCTTATTGGAATTTTAAAAACATGGCACACATAGTAAAAAGATATGGAAAAATAGCTTTAGAAGAAAACGACATCAATAATAAGCTTTGTGTCCCCGTCGATAAGCTATTAAGCTCAACAGTTTACGCTACAGAAATAAATATCGATTGTCGTTTCTTGGAAAGTTAACACGTTGACTGCATAACAGTTAGGACGTTGTGTGTGTCTTACTGTTTGTTACTGTTTGTTTGCTGCACATCGATGAAATTTTCATTAATACGAACATATAATGATGAAATATTGCACAACATGATTAAGTTGATTTATGTTATCATTGCATTACACACGACTATGCATTTATCTCGCTCAATTTATAATCGACGGCGGGTTAAATAAAGTTTTTGCAATCATTGAACATGTATACATGCTGTTTATCATAATAGAAACATGTACTCGCTCGATAAAGAACGCTCGTAAAGAATTGACATCCGCAGACGTGTCAATTAATTATTCACGAGAAATTTACAACTTTCTTCAACATTTTAAATATCCGTAACTTGATAAATTTTCCGTGCTTTTTGCATCTCAACGAATTTGTTAAAAGAGGAGATTATAATTCTTCCCTCCTCTTTATAGGATATTATCGTCCCCCTTAACACTTTAATGGCCGCTCACACAACATGTGTGTGATAACCGGAACAACTGTTATTGTCCGCTCACACAACATATGTGTGATGCTAACGCCGAAGATAATTGGCCAGTACCACACTCTCTGTATGATGATTTATGAATATAAACAAGAATTATTTCGTGAATTTTAATAAAGTTTTTTTCAATTAATTTTTCAAAAATATTGCCCCTGGCGACGTTTCACTGCGTAGACGTGCGGCCATTAAAGTGTTAATATTTTTGCTATTAAGTGACAAATTCTAGAAATTATTTATGGAATCATTTACTTAGTAGTCCGCCGTTATGCAGTGACGATAATAGACTAATATACAATAGCCGACATTTGTTATACTGCATATTTATTTTCGAGTATTTTTAAACATTTTCAAGATACATTTTAGCATTTAATTACACATACTTTCTCATTTTTCTTAAACCTGGGTATATTATTACACGAATATAAATATATACTTGAATGTTTTGTTCGTTATTTAAGATTTTATTCCGTTGTATACATTTCCATACATTACGCAAAATTAAATAATAGTATGGTGTTTTGTTAATTTAGCTTCTCACTAAAATATATTTAATACGGCTTCTTTTTCAAGATTTTCTTATCGAAATAGTTATTCAATAAATCAATAATTCAAGTTAAGTTCAAAAGTCTATTCATTTTGTAGGTTGGGAAAGTTGCTCTAAAAATGACTCGTTATCGTTACGTTAGAAGTGATAGGTCATAGTTTCTATCCAATTTTCTTTACGGAGTTTTATATAAGCCTTTTTCTTTTTCTAAGATCTCAATCTTTATACAAAAGACGATAGAAATGACTATTACATCTGTTACTGCATCCAAAAATGCAATTATATTACCGTTACCATTACTAAAAAAAAAGAATAACTCGTTACTCGTTACTGAAAAAAAACAACTGATAAAGGTGTTTCAAATGGTAACGTGTTATGCAGGAAATTTACACTACATTCGACATCCAATGGTACGACGATTCGATATCCAACAGAAGAACTCAACTTTCTAAAATTTCTGGCCAGCAACATTTCTACTATCAGAAAACGAATTCTCCTATTGGATATCGGACGGCGTGCATTGAGAAAAAATATCGCGCGGTAAATCAATTGTAGCGAGGAGAATCACTTTTGTAATAAGCGTTGACACAATATTAGCGATAATAATCATACGTGTATATTGCTATTATGACTTTTTTTGTTAAAACAACAAGAAAATATAATCGGTGCCGAAAATTATTGTAATTTCAGTGAGATTAATCCTTTTTTCTCTCAGTGTACGCGTCGGATGGCCCAGGTAGAACAGAAAATCGACAATAGCATCAAAATCAGGAGGAAAGACTCACTTTTCAGTGATTTTCTCCTAATTCTGACGTCTTCATCATCTACCCTTCCTGGACGTCAGATGCAGTATGAATCCCGCATCTCTCCCCGTCCCAGTTATTGATATCCTTCCAATGTAATGCGATCAATTGTTCGCGACGCAGCGGCGAGTCTTGCATTTGACATACGTTTGAATTCGCCCACAATCACTGTCCGCAGATTTCGTGGGCGCTTCGCTGCGCGCGTTACTGCCGTTGCGCGCCGTTAGAGAACGAAACGAGATGCGATTCATATCACCCGCCAATTCCGCTACAGAAGCGCTACGCTAAAGTGACGACGCAGCTTTGAACGTCTCGTCGTATCTCGCTGCTGCCTTCAGACACTTGATCGGAAATCGAATCCGATGCTGCTCCGATCGATCGCGACGGAATATACATTTTCTGGTGATACTCACGCGGAATCTAAGTTCGCCGACCGGCGGTTGTGCGTACGGTATCCCGCGGAATGCGGTAAAGTAGCCACCGTGGACATTTTCCTCCACGATGCCACGTAACTTTCCTTGGCGCACGTGCACGTCGACCCGAGTGTTCTTCATGACTGCCGCTACGGCAGAACGCACGATAGTTCGAATGTTGTTCAGCATGTCTAGATTGATCTCCTGTTCATCGCCCGATGGCAAAGTCCCGAGTTTAACGAGAATCGAACGAGAAATGAGAAGGAAATGAGCTGGTTCGCTGGATTTTAATATGTTATCACCGCCAATCATATCGCTGTAAGATCATAATCGATGATCGACAGTGATATTACAGTGAAATTACATAATGATATACGAAAAAAAATCTTTGTCGACATCGTACACCGAGGAGTGAGGACGCGGAGGAAAAATGAAATGCAAATTTCGTAATTATTTTTTTACGAATTGAAATCAGTAGCTTGATATGCCACGGTGAATGATTATCCGTTTTATCTGTATAAATTGACAAAGTCCAAATGTAATTAAAATATAAACAATCAGGTTACGCACTCATGTGATGTGAGCATTCGTCGTAAGAATTTGTGTGCTATCGTCGTGAGAATTTCTATAAACATGACCTTTCTCTCGATGGAGCAGTGTTAGCGATGATTTAAGTGAAGCAGATAATCACGACGATGTCAGAGTGACGAGATAATTATCGAATTGTGATAGAGAAATGAGTTTTTATCATTTTCTTGTCATTTTAACGTCATCGGGATTTTCTCTCCTATCTGGGGATATTATTAAATTATTGTTTTTTATGTAACGCGCAGAACGCTTGATCGCACTTCGGAACCACCAAAATGGCGAGAAAATAATCGAATCACGATCGAGAAGTGAGTTTTCATAGCCATTTTCTCGTCGTTTTGACGTTATCGTAATTTTCTGTTTTATACTTTGAATATTATTAAATTATTTTTTACATGTAATCGCAGATGTAATTAATTCTAGTGTAGTCGCGCGCCTAAATGCAACACGAGTGGTCTCGTGGATGACAAATTTCCTCCATTTTAAGTTGACTTTTTCCATTAAAAAAAGTCGCTTTAGAAAACACAATAACAAAAACAATATTTGTTTATATGGAAATAACGATCATAAAAGATCTTATTTAAAACGGACGGGAGCAATCCCTAACAAATTTGCGGAAGCGAAAGTTGAATGCTAATTAGTATTTGTTAGAAAATACTTTTTAGTGCGCATAAATGAGATATGTTATCGACTGCAGAGTTAACCGGGCACCATTGACTTATGTCCGCTTCTACTATCATAAATTTAAATTTAATCGACCATTAACTAACGGAATTGACCGGTCATATTTGCCAGTTCATTGGCCAACACGATCGACGAATTTCGCAGAGTAAATCGATTAAATTTAAATCATGGTGGTAAAAACATAAGTCTGCATAGATAGAAATCGGTCGCAAAAAGCATCTATACGACGGATATAGCCACCCGGAAGATCTTTTAATCTTGCTTAATGAGGATTAGCAGTGTATAGTAGATGAAAAACACGCGCATTGCCCATCGATGATCTTCTAGAAGGCCACGCCTGTTCCGTAGACGTTTGGTCTTCTTAGCTGAATTGGCTGCACTGTAATTCAGGAAATTTACGTACACATTGAAGCGTATGAAGCGTACGTACGAGATTCTCACATCTCCAGAAATATCTCAATTCGTCGAATTTGTCGAATTCGTGCGAAAATCGCGCAAACAGTCACGGCATTACGATCCGTAAACAGAAGAAGCATATCGGCGTATCCCGACGTAATCGCGCGATCGCGCTCTTCACGTCTTTCGAAGCTGCTCTCGTCGCCGTGCGATAGGGAGTTTCCTTTTCTATGGAGGAGCAATCAGAAACGACATATATCGGACATGCAAGATGTCACGGGCACTCGTGTCGCTTTGTCGCTTCGATATGCGACTGCTTTTAGCTGTGATCGATGGCGACGAAGGCGCTGGTAATCGAGTCATGTTCGCTGAATTAAGCGGAGGCGCGCGTGTGTGTATGTGTGTGTGTGTCGGGCGCGAGGCGTGTCGGCCGCATCCTTGACGTCGCGATAGCATCTTTGCGCCGTGTATGTTAATTCAACGAAATATAATTAATCGACTTTGTTGTTGGCGTGGACCACGCACGCGCGCGCGTACATACGCGCACCGGGGTGAACACGGAAGGGAGAGGGAGGGGGTGAAAACTCCGCACTCCCGTCTTGCCATTGTCCCCGAGGCGCGCGAGGAATATCGCGTTCCCCGTTGCACAATGTATGTAAATCAAGCCGCGGAATTTCCCGGTGGCAAATAAAGGGCGATGGCGATCTTCTTTCACGTTTTTGTTTTTATCAGCGCGCGATACGTTGCGCAGCGTACTGATTTTAACTATCCTCGAGTTTTTATCGCCTTCTTCAAATCTCCCCAGCGGGAGATACGTACAAATTACAACGGCGAACGTACACGCGAAAAAAATAACTCGGTAGTATCGGTGAGATCTCTCTCTCTCTCGGTGGTTGACTCTCGAGCACGGCTCCCTCAGCGGAAAGCTCACGGAAAGCTTTCGTTTGCCTCCACCGCTGAGAACTGGGAAATTGTTAGCGGGCGAAATTTATATTTGTTTGCGCTGCGAGCGTAAAAATGTATTGGTCGAAGTTAAAAGATAACGCGCTACTTGAGCGCGAGTTGTTAAGAAGGTGGCGGTCATTCCCAACGTATCTTATGGTTTACATGTACTGAAACTGTCACTTGCCACCTCTGGTAGCGATTATTTCCCGACAAATTACAGCGAACAATAAGGAGAGCTTCGACAGTAGTAACGACGTTGGTCCTCCTATTTCAAAGAAAGGGCTTAGCTGCCACGACTAGCTTAGCTTCCTCTGGTAATTCTTCCTCTGCGTGCATACGAATACCTACATGTACTCCAACGAGAAACGTGAGAAAGCCGTGGAGGTGACGGAAGGAATAATGTGATTGAATACAGAATACAGAGAACTAGCAATCGCCTAAAAAAATATAAAAGTAAGATGGAGAATACAGGACTTACAATTATCTAAAGATTGATTAAAAAAAATAAATTAGCGTCGCTACACGTTCTGCTTTAATACTTCCGCGTTAACAGTCACACATTAATCATACATTCAAACGCCAGAGGCGGCAAAATTCATTTCAAAAGATGAAATTAAATTAATTACATGACAGTTTTTACCGTAGCTTATTCAAATGTTAGTTAAATACTGTAACGAGTTGTAATAACATTTATGACATATGTGTGTAATTTTTCATTCCCAATTTTTCCATTACTTAAATGTGAGTGAACAGACTAGTGGTGAAATGTGTTCATAACATATCGCACAAAGAGAATCTCCTTGAGAAAACGCAAAAGAAATTATCAAGTCTGATCTTTTAGAGATTTCTCGGAGAAACTTTTTCTCGATTTTCTTAGAAATGTATTATGAGAAATACGGATGAATTGTTGTTTGATACAACAATTATAATAACAATAAAAATATAATTGCGCGTGATGCTGAGTCACGCGTAAAAAAATTATGACATCAGCTCGCTCGAATCACAATGACGCTCGAGAGAGAGAGAGAAAAAAAGAAAGAAAGAAAGAAAGAGAGATCCAGCAACGTTCATTAATCACGCAAGCGTTGCCGCCAAAAAACCACAAAGTTCGCCAAGAGAGATTCTTCACCCTTCCGATTCGCATCTTGGTTTATTCTTTTCGGAGCCGTGCGTGCGACGAGGACTACATTACCGTGGTTACCACCGAAAACATCTTTCACATCTCGGACGTAACGAGGATTATGCGGCACGATCGCGAATCGGAAATGATGTATAGAGTTGGCTTTTACTGGCACTACATTGTAAGGGCCGGCAAAAGGCCCGCATTAGCGAACCGTAAAAGAGCGGTTTTTCTCATTCATCAAAACTACGCGCCGGCGCGAAATTACACGCGAGCGCGATCGATAGATTTCGAAAAGGGCCACAGACCTTTTCCACACGAGCTTTAAGTTTCCCATATTGCAAATTTAACACAACCAGCTAACTGCGGAACCGGCATAAGAGCGTCTAGTCGCGAGTGTCAGCGTGATTTATGATTTCACCTTATCCGATCTCTTAAATTATCTGCGAGAAGACAATATTATGTTACAGTGTGTCCGCTATGAGCCGAGAACTTTTTATCTTTCAACGTGCACGTCGTAAACACATTGTGCACACGCTTTCGTTCATTTTCATTTTCCCTATTGTCAGACCGACCGCCTTATCCGGACGTTGTTGATTTTCGGTTATTACAGAAACCCTTCGGTTTCTGTACAGCGAAAATTGACACACTTGGAGGTTCATTTAATTTGCGAGAGCGAATGTTAAAGAGCGATCCGGGCACGCCAAGTGTTTTCAAGAGAGATTCTTAATTTTACATTTCCGCACAATTTTTTGCCGCCTCTGGCGTTTGAATGTATGATTAATGTATGACTGTTAACGCGGAAGTATTAAAGCAGAACGTGTAGCGACGTTAATTACGAAGTCAACTTCATAAATATTTCGTTTCCTCCCAAACGTCTCTCAACTTTCATTTCAAAAGATGAAATTAAATTAATTACATGACAGTTTTTACCGTAGCTTATTCAAATGTTAGTTAAATACTGTAACGAGTTGTAATAACATTTATGACATATGTGTGTAATTTTTCATTCTCAATTTTTCCATTACTTAAATGTGAGTGGACAGACTAGTGGTGAAATGTGCTCATAACATATCGCACAAAGAGAATCTCCTTGAGAAAAACAGCCAGTAACGAATGAAATGACGCAAATTCGAGATGACAATACAGAATGTTTAACGCGTTTTTTAGAACTCGACATCATTGAAAGATTAACAATAACGATTGTACACCACTTTGTGTTTTATAAGCAATTCAAATTTAACTGTTTGCATAAAATATGCACGTACTTGATCTTATCTTTAACGATGCGTATGACATCATTCGTCGTATTCTCATTAGGAATTCATACAAGTAGCTCATTGCATATTAATACAGCACAGTGTAAGTGTTTATCAACAAAAATAAATGCATGATACAGGTAAACACAAGATATATTTTAAAGTTGGAAAAACAACTTTACAAAAAAATAACTCGTCATCGTTCCTGATTCCCACTTAAAAATAACACCTCATTACTATTATCGTTACGCATCTTAAACAAAGATCTCTTCTCCGCCACCTATTACGTAAAATAACGAATCGTTATCATTTCCGTCTTTCTTTCAGCGAATTCC